CGGCTTTGGCCTTTCTCACCGTCGCCTTCGTCTATTACACCGCGTGGGCGCTCGTGACGCCGCTCATCGACGAAGGACACCCAGTTTTAAGGCTGTTCCCCAGGACAGAGCTCTCGGTCATCCTCCCGGGATACTTGGGTGGTACGCTCGTTTTGGGGTGTTTCTTCGTCGTCGGCGCGCACATGATTGCGCACAGACCTGCGCAAGTGGACTCGAAGAAGTCCAGGTGATCCTACGTGATGTGGGCGCGAGCGCTGGAGATGGCGATCTTCGGACTCACCAACGGCAGTCGCTGAGTCCGAAGATGACGAGGATGCAGTCGAGCTCGATTTCGATGACGACGAGGACAACGAAATGCTCAAGGCGATGTTGACGAAGAAGATAGTGCCCAACGTGGCGCGGACTGAGGAACTAGACCCCGACGTCTTCGTCGAAAACGTCGAGAAGGACGAAGAAGACAAATCTGACGATTTAGAGGACGAGAAATCTGATGATTCAGAGGACGAAAGCGAATCTGAAAATTTATCCGAGGAGGAAGACATGACTGAGGAAGAGAAGATAGCGCAGCGTAAGGCGGCGAAGAAGTTCATCAAGGCGGATAGAAAGAAGAACAAGAAGCTCGCCCGCGCGCAAGCTGTTGGAGGATTCCTTGAAGACGAGGCAGAAATGTCAGAGGATGGTGGGCACACCTCGGATGAAGACGATGACGACAACATGGACGACGATGAGTTGAACGAGCTCGCCGAAGGTATCGATTTCCGTGAAGAGCAAGATGAAGATGAACGTCGCGCCGCCGCGCGTCAACGAGCTTTCATGAAGGACCAGCAGAAGGCGGACGACGCTGAATTGGAACAAATGAAGGAAATGGTTGCCAACGGCTTCAAGCGCAAGAAGGGCTTGCTCGACGCCGAAGACGAGTGGAAGCGAAAAAGACGCGAAGGTGGTGATGATGACTCTGACGAAGAAATGGACTACGGTCCAGTGATCGAGCGTCCCGAAGAAGCAGTTGAGTTGTCTGATGACGATGATGGCGAGTGGCGTGAGCAAGCCGCTCGACGCCGTGCACTTCAAGAATCAGGCACGCAAGAATCACAGCTTCCGAACGCGTTCGAGAGCATCGTCAGTCAGGATATTTACGCCGCTGTGAAGGGTCGGATGAACTCGTTCAATGAATCACAGGAAGCTCGTCATTGGGAAGGCGTGGAGCCCTCTCTTGCTCGCTCGAGCTCAGTGCCTGCGTCTTTAGCTCGCACGTCGAGCCAAATCGGCGCCGGAAGCTCCGCGATGCTCTCGCGTCAATCGTCAAAGACGTTTCTTGGTAAGAAGAGACAAATCGCGAAGGCAAACGGACCGGTACTTGGTAACAGCCAAGCGAGCCGTTCGTACGTTTTCGGTCGCAGTGAGAGTCAGAGCCAGTGGGCTGGGGATGAGGCGATGCCGGCGACGACGTTTCGCGAAATCGGCCGAGAGAACGATGCGCGATCTTTCGGTGCGATAAACGCGGGGAACGTCAGTACGAAGAAGGCGGACGCGTCTGAACCGAAGAAGAAGCAGTCGCTCTTTGAGTTGATGTCTCAGACGCAAGACGAGAACGCTGTCAAGCACCTTCCACAAGCTGCCAAGTCAGTCCTGGGGAAACGTTAGAGGCTAGGTGACATTTTCATTCAACACGATGCTTAACGAACGTATTTTTGATCAGATACGGTGATTCTTACTGCAAACAAATCACTACGACACACTTCTCCTCTAAAAGCTCACCGCCCGACGCGGCTCGCCATCTATCGCCACAAGCTTATCCACACACCTACATGAATGAACTGGCAAGTATCCACTTACATGTCCAACTCCTTACCAACGTACGGCTTGGCCATGTCTTCGTCCTCCTTCGGAGTGTGAATGACGACGGTGTCCGGGATCGGCGTGGACGGGCCGTCGCGGCCCTTCGGATCGTGGTCGAGCATGATCTTAACGCGCATACCGATGGTACCTTGGCGGAGCAACGCGTGACGGGTGCAAGACACAATGTAGTCACGAACCGGGTTACCGGAAGAAATCATGTAACCATCCTTGAACTTCATCGCCTTCGCACGTTGGCCGCGAAGCTTACCAGAGACGACAACCTCCGCACCCTTGGCGCCAGACTCCATGATGTAACGAAGCACGCCATAGCACGCACTGCGAACGAACGAAAAGGCGATAACGAGGGTAAGGTCAGTCTCTCGAAACACAGAACGCGCTTCACTTGACGATTCGAGAAGGATGCGCGAGGATAGATTCGAAGACGCTCTCGCACTGAGACCCTAGGGCCTTAAGGCAAGCCATTCTCAACGCCTCGACTCGCACGTCGCCGGTCGCGCCTGGATCTCCCTCGCGCGTTCGTAACATCGTAACAATTCACGCGAACACATCTCAACAAACGTACCGTCGCACGGCGAGACCGCCGAGGAGCTTGTAGCGCAAAGACTCGCACTGGGCGATCGCGCACAACCCGCGGTTGTTCACCTTCTCCGCGTAGAGCTCAACGGTGCCTTCGGCGAAACCGAATCGTCGCTGGACGAGCGTCGTGAGCTCACGAATTCGTCGGCCCTTCTCGCCGAGCACGTTCGCGGTTCGCGTGGCGCGAATGATAATCTCCGTGCGCATCGGCGTGACGCGAACCTCAACGCCGGAGTACCCGTCCTCGGCGAGCTCGCGGACGAGCATCTCGTTGAGTTCGGCGAAGAAGACGCCATCGGCGACGAACTGATGACGTGAAAGAGATGAGAAATAATGTCAGTCGACGTGTTCTCGAGTTTATCCCGCGTGTTCGTCCCACACGAGCGCGTCGGCGGACCGAGCGCGACGGTGCGTACGACCGATCCGCCGATTTAGGGTCACTGTGCGCGCGAGCACACGTCGCGTTCGTGGCACCGACGCGCGACGTGCGACGCGCTTCTCCGTCGAACGCGGTACAGAATGCGTACCTTGCGCTTCTTGCTGATGTTGGTGGCCATGCTGGGTGTTATGCAACCCCGCGCGACGACGAAAGAGGCGGAGTCGATCGACGACGCTTGCCCTCGTGCGCGAGAGGAGCGACGAGCTCGAGATGGAGACCGTTTTCTGGATCGTTTCGTACTACATGGGGTTTTACTATGTATTATACGTGGAATGAACCGCCGCGGTGGAAAATGGAAAACCGTCGAGTCATAATTCAACGAGAGTCCATCTGATGGAATTCGTTCTCCAAAGACGTCGTCGCGGCCTCGAGGCTCTGTATGCGACTGGCTTGGGAGTCGAGCATCAAGCGAAGGTGCTGAATCCTATCGCGAAGTTCGTCGCACTCCTCGTCTCTCTCCCCGATGACTTCCAGTGCGGCGGCATACTGTGCCTGTAGGGACTTGATGCTCACAGAGTCCCCGCCGCCGTCGACAAGTTGCTCAGATTTCACAAGCTCGTTCGCGAGCGAGTCGCGAGTTTGCTCAAGCTTCTTTATCTGATCCTGAGCGATTTGGAGCTCGGTTTCTCTCGCGGTGAGCTGGCTTTTCAGCATCGCCAACGTATCTCGAACCGCCAGACTCAAGCCGGCTTCGCCGCCAGTGAGCATAGCCGCCGGTTGCTGCGTAGACTGTTGAGAAGCGCCGAAGTCATCACCACGCTTGGTTTGGAGCGATTGTGCGTCATCACGAGCGGCTCTTAACTCGTTCTCTAACTTTTCTGCGTTTGCGAGCATTTCAGCGCGCTCGCGATCCCACGTGTCGCCGAGCTGCTTGTGCTTCCCTCGTTCCTGGGCAAGCAACTGTTTCACTTTATTCTCCCGCTCTCGCGCCTCGTCTTCGATGGCTGATATGCGACCTTCCTGTTCCGCGAAGGACTCGCTAAATCTGGCCGCCTTCAGAGACTCGGCTGACGTTTTTGCACGTTGCGCCTCCAGCTCCACTTTCAACGAGCTCAACTCAACCTGAAGCTTTTCGATGCGCTCGTCTGCGGCTTGTTTCTCCTTGACGATTGCTATTTGCCGATCCTTCGCCGCGATTTCGCGCTCCGCTGCAGCCTCGGCGCGCATCTCAGCCTCGGCCAAGCGCGCAGCGGATGTCTTTTCCAGAGCGGCCCAAGCATCAGTATTCTCCGCCGCTTGCAATTGCAGTGCCTCAATCTGGCGAAGCAGCGGCCTCGTGCTCTCCGGCATTCGACGCAGCAATTCCTCGTGACTACTTTCAGCGGCTTGACACCTCTCTTCGGCCGCGGCGAGATCATTCTTAAACCTCTCTTCCTGGCGCTCTAAAGCTGCGCTCGAACGCTGCAATGAGTGCTGCAAATCTGACACCTGATCATGGAGACTCTGCTCGCGTTCACGCGCCATCTTTAGCTCCTTTGCTAAATCTTCACTCTGTGCGAGATTCGCCTTCACCTCGACGTCCGTGAGCTCTTCCTTGGCCTGCGCTAATTTGGATAAATAATACTCTTTCTGTTCGTTGAGCTGCTTGGATAGGTGCGATTTTTCTGCTGCGTGTTCCTCACGCGCACTCTTCAAGTCTGCGGAAAGCTTTTCAATCGAGGAACTCTTTGTCTTCGTCTCCTCGCTCAAGCCATGATGCAGCTCATCGCGCTCTCTGAGCTCCTTTCGCAGCTTTTTTATTATTCCTTCCATTTCGGCCTGCTTTTTACTTAGCGCCTCTCCTTCCGCCATGACTTCTTTGATAATCTCATCCTTCTCCTTGACAAGCATATCCAAGCTTGCCTGGGCATCAGCTTTCTTTTTCAATACTTTGCACTGCTCCGTTAACTCTTTCACCCGAACCTTGGTCTCCGCGAGCTGCTGCTCCGCGAGCGCCGCACGCTCCGCGGACGCCTCCTGCTCCGCGTCCAAAGATGCGCGCTGCGCAGCTCGTCTTGCAATTTCATTCTCTCGCGCGACAAGCTGCTTCTTCACAAATCTGAGCTCCTTAAGCGTCGTTTTCAGCCTTTCCGCGGCACCGTCCGGTTCGATCGTTTCCTCCTCTTCGTCTTCAACCTCCTCTTCCTCCTGCTCCGGTTCCATCGCGGGTTCGGGGATGGACTTAGGAACGACCTTTGGCTCGGGAACAACCTTTGTCGACGTCGTCGGTGCAGTCGCCTGCGCCGCAGTGGCATCACCCTCCGTCCCCGTTGCCCCCGGCGCGCGTGCACTCACGCCAAACGCCTCGTCCGCGCGAGCCTCGAGCTCTCGCGCCGCTTCGCTCGCTCGCTCCGCAATCTGCTCCGCCACCGCCCGCACGTCCAGTTCGCCCAGCGCCTCGCTCGCTCGACTCTGAATCTGCGTCGCGATCGCGTTGTAATCGAACGATCCCCAGTCCCCCCACGACGACGTCCCCGTCACGACCTGCGTCTCCGTCGCGACCGCGTCTCCCTCGCGCGCCTCCGCGCGCGCGTCGCTCGAAGGTTCACTCGACGACGCCATTCGATTTTGTCTCTTTTCAATCGTCGTCCGAAGAGCGCTCGACGCGCGCACGATCGCGCTCGTTCCGGCTCGAGGGCACTTCCCTACGCCGTCGATCGACGTCTCCGACGCCGCGCGCGACGCCCGAGCGCGCGCGACGAGACCTGACGATCGAGCGTGAGATTTTGCATTCATCGTCTCTTCACCGCGCGTCGTTCGCGCTCGTCGTCTCGCGCGCGCGCGAGCTCACGCAGCGCTCGGACGGGGACGTGAGCGATGACGTCGACGGCATCGCACGAGACCGAGAGCGCGCGAGGAGCGACGGGCTCGATGGATGACGACGACGAGGACGCGATGGGCAACGACCGAGAGTTTAAGGTACGACGACGACGCGTCGACGCGGCGGAGGCGCGCGCCCTGGGAAAGCGACAGTCGTTCTGGTGCACGACGAAGTGTTTCGTGCGTGAGATCTTACGCGCGGATGAGCTGACGTTCGAGGAGGAAGAGGTGAGCGAGGCGGAGGCGAGCGAGCGAGCGAGCGAGTGTTACGAGCTGCGGCGAAAGGTCGGGACGACGATAGCGCGGAGAGTGGAGGTGTGCGGATACGTGGTCGAGAGGCGAACGAGGAAAGATTCAAAGGTTATCTTTACACTGGACGACGGCACGGGTTGCGTTGAGTGCGTCGTGTGGATGCAGGACGGCGACGCGGCGACGGGTGAGCGCTCAGACTTGTTCGGAATCGCAAGCGCGGCAGACGGCGCCGCGGCGCTGGCGAAGGAGATACGCGTTGGAAGCCTAGCGCGGGTACAGGGTGTCGTGCGACACTGGAGAGGACATCGGCAGATCAATACGAAATCGGTGCAGATAGATCTCGATCCAAACCAAGAATGCTTGTTCTGGCTCGACGTCACCGAACATGGTTAATGGATTTACTAGTACAGTTTGCACCACACCAAACTAAGGGCTAAATCTATGGATGCTAAATTGGTCTATGCCGACATGTATCAGTTGCATCGGCTGTATTGTTGTAAATGAGATTTTATGTTTCGTCGGAGACGATGTCATCAGTTTCGTTCCGTGTTGAAGTATTGCCCGTCAACACGCTTCGTACCGACGAAAGCCAACCGTGCATTGCTCCTTGAGAAGCCGCTGTCGGCCGAGCCGCTCGCGTGGCGTCGAATGGTAGCTCTGGGTCGCTCGAGTCGAGAATAGAGCTGTCAGAATCGGATGATGTGGTCTGCGCTCTTTGACTTGAGGTGGGAGGAGCTCTCGCTGGTGCAGCCATTCTTGCCGCTCGCGCACTTTGTAGCCAGCCACCCATCACTGTGGTGGCGGTTGAAGACAAAGTCGTGCGCACTGCAGTTGGGGTAGAATCACTTGATAAGAGCGAAGACGATTCGCTGGAATCATCTGAGGTGATTTCCTGAGGTGCGGGTGGTAGCTGAGCACGCGCTTCTCTAGCGTTCATCAGCCAGCTCTTCATTGCCCCCTTTGAAGTCTCGCTAAGATTCTTCACGGAGGAGAATCTGGCATCTGCTTCGGTCTCACTTTCAGATGAGAAATCAGTTGACGAAAAAGCAGCGCTCCTGGGCGAAGGCTGCCTGCTTGCTCGAAGTTGCTTGACGGCTGCAAGCCAGCCGGTCATCGCTGCTGAGGCACCCTCAGAGAGGGCGGGAATCGGCGGGAATCGCTGTAAAGCAGCCTCTGCCTCGCTTTCAGACGTGTCAGAGAGCATACCGAGGTGGGATCCGCGTCCAGCTGCTCGAGCGGCGGCGTGCGCGACCCATGCACGCATTGCTTTTGCGGCGGGCTCAGAGAGGTGCACTTCGCCGAAATTATCTTCCATGTCATCATCCGAATCAGAAATTTCTCCTGCCCTCTGTCTACGACGCACCGCTTTACCGAGTTTCAAGCGCTGTGCGGTGCGTGGAGAAAGGATTTCTTGCAGCTGATCGATCACCCAATCTCTATTCTTTGACATGAACAAGTGACGGAAGTAGTCACTCGTGAGTTCCGCCGTGGTTATCGCCACAGAGTCTCCTTGACCTCCCTCGGCAGCGTGAACAGCTTTCATCTTATCCGCTATGCTCTTCGGTGCGAAGATGGCGCCGAAGTCTTCCTCAAGGTCGTCTTCGATGATCATCTCGCCCGAGGTGATAGAAGATGTGATTGTCCAAAGCCCAACACGGTCTGCGAGAATGAGAGAAATACGCTTGAGAATGTACGAACCCGCAAGCACCATGATGACCAGAGGGAGGAAGAGAATGTCTTCGAACATGTTATATGAAAATCTCAGCATCATAGAAATGGCGAGCACGAAGAGGAAAGATCCCGATCCTCCGAGAGCGAGCACGAAATAAAACTGACTTGAGAAGCACATCTGGTCAATGGCACGAAGACCTGGATCGATCGATTCATCGTATACTTGTTCGAGCCCTTTCCATCTCGCGGTGCGATTGACGAAACGGTATCGAGCATACTTCAAGTACTCATAGACCTTCCAACCGTGGAAAAGTTCCTGAATATTAAACGTGAAGACGTCCATGATGATCTGGAACGGGATGATGACAACAGAAAACAAGAAATAGATCAAAAGATCATTCTTCTTGAAGCCATACTGATGAGACAACCTCAGCGAATCATTGTATTGCCAGAAGAAAAAGATGAAAGGAGGCGTCATCCACAAGGCCGCGGCGTTTCCGCCGTATGACGCCAGGAAACCCATCAAATCTTCAACCAACGTGTCCTCTATATCCACTTCTGGCTCCTCCTCAATGTCATCGTCGCCAAATGAGAATGGGAGGAGCTCCAGGACAAAGTCTACCATTTTGTTGATTTTGTTCGGTAAGACAAGCGCGCACCATGCAATGAAAGCGTCTAAATACACGTATTCGACCATGCCCATGATCATCTCGAAAAAGAAACCGAGCGTGAAATCAGTAAAGTCATCAGCGCCGATTGTAGCCAAACCGACTGATGAACCGAGTACGAGCGACACTGGGGCGAGCAAGAAGGCTTCACCCAAGGCAGTTTCCACCTGCATTTCAAGAATGATGTGGAAAATTTTGAGCAGGAAGAAAATCGTGAAGAACTGTGCTCCGAATGTATCCGTAAATGAGAACTCAATGATGAGAACGTTGGTGACATTGACAAGCAAGTTGAGCAACACAAAGTGGCTTCTTTTCCAGACCTCTGGTTTGAACATCACCTCGTCGACGTATCGCTCATCCTCCAACTCCTTTTGTTCTTCATCCTTGATTTCACCGGGAATCATGATTTCTGCACAGCAACCCATTATATACATACTGGCCGTGAGAAAACATACCCCGTAGCGGCCCGTCGTGGCCTTCGGAATCTGTGCGAGCAATGCCGGATCACCTTCTCGGCCGAAATCATCGATATTGATCGGGAACTCAACCAGGAGAGGGAACATAGAGAACGCTGATTGGAAAATGAACTGAGCCGCTATGAAAGGAGCCATTCCAAGCGATACTCCCATCAGCGGAGGACCGATGACGATTCGGAGGTACGGTAGGAAACGGAATTTGGGCGGATCCTTCAGCAGTGTGAACATACGAACTACTACGAGCACAGCGAACACGAAAACAACCGCCAACGCACCAATCGCGAGGAATAGGATGAAGTAGAAGAAGAAGTCGAACGCAAATGCGTTCACCAAATCGAACCAAGTCATAGCGGCGAAGTTGATATTGAGTGTGTATGTGCCGTCATGTGTTTTCGCTGTCACGTACTCATCCATGGTGACCACAGCAGTGACGATGCGCTTCTTTTTCTTACTGACCTGGAAATAGAAGATATCGAAATCGATCACGGTAGGGATCAATCCTGCAGCCAGAACCACTCCTTCAGCCGGTTCGAACGAGACGGGAATGTTGAGCTGGTTGTTGATGTCCGCTTCATACTGCGCTGTTGACGCAGGTGGCTCTGTTTGATCATTAGCAATGATGCTCGCTGCGAACAGAGCTTCTTGACTTTCGGCTGAAGCCGTCAAGTAGAAGAGTACATCACCGTCACCCTCGTACCAACGTTTCTTCGCCGATGGCTCCGTAAAGGCTTCCTCGTAGAAACATTGGGCGGTGATACTCACTTCATCGGCGACTGGTGTTTGGACTTGCGGCGAGTACGGATCGATGGGGATGGTTTCTAACTCATCAACGAAGCTTGCTTCGCCGTATTTGACGAATTCGCGTTCATCGTCAAATTGAAGCGGCGTCCACGCCGTCTCAGTGACATGGGCCAAGTAAATATGACTATCGAATCCTCGACACGCAGAGAAGAACGGCAAGTAGTCAACCGCAAAAAGCGCCGCGCCTGATGTCCACAACCCCTCATTGAGTAGGTACTTCTCTTGTTCATACACATCGGGAAGCGATACTTCGACTGTTTCGTCTGTCTGGCCATCCTCGGCCGTGATCACCCAATCCTCTATGTGGTTGATGGTGAGATTCACATGGTTCTGACTCGGCGAAACATCTGCGCCGAGCACTGTCGCATTGGAACAGGTCCCAGGTGTATCTCCGCATCTCAAATACTTAAACTTTTTCCACTCAGCACCATAAGTGCTATTGTAGTCGAGCGTGACACGTGAATCCGAACGTCTGCAACCCAAATCTTGATTGATATTGGCACAATTGAAGTAATCATTCGAGACAGAACGCAGGAGTGAAGATGATAATGGGGAGTTCAGTGGAGATTGGAACTCTTCGTCAATCTCAGCCGGTAATATCGCATGAAACGCGAACGTGGGATTCTCTATATCGCCACGCTTAGGGTATTCAACGTCAATGCAGAACGTGTTCAAGAAGCTTGCTCGGTTCTCAGCCTGATACAGCCCGTGTAGCATGCGCACCTCAATTCTGAACGGGAAATCATCGTTAGCGTGGAGCGATAGCTCGTGCATGCCAGTCTTCCAAACATAAGTTCCCCACGACGGATTATCAACGTTATATCCAGTTGTAGATCCGTCGTTATTCCTGTTGAACCAGAACGGTAACTCGAGTGACTCTTGCGATGGTGGACACTTCTGTTCCTGTTCTGCACCTGGGATCTCTCTCATGTCCAACCAGGAAATGCCGTCACCGACATCCCATGGTGGACAAGGCACAGTCTTGAACTCTGATTCAGCACATTTTGTCGTACGGACGGCTGGATCAGTGAAGATCAATAGCTCGAAGTGATCGCCATACACGAGGTCTGGATCGATACTACGCCAATCAAATTTAATTTTTGCCGTGTGCCCTCTGGGAAGTGTGAACATTGTTAGAGGGATGTTCTCTTCATCCACCGTGACGTTGATATTGTTGTCCGCCTTGATGAACTGAGGTTGTAAGAGATGCCAGTTTTTATTCTGGCAGCCTCCCATCCCCATATAATTGAACGGGTCCGTTGCGTTCGGATCAACGTTTGGATCAGGCGCCGGTGCAGAAGCTGATTCTAGAAGCTTCCGACGCTGATCTTCGAACACTGTTTGTGCCACTTTGTTTGCGTCCTGCTCTTCGGTGCCTACTGTGGTGGTGGTGTTCAAGACTAGCTCAAAGATGTTCTCGATCAAGTCAAAGCTAATAGGATTAATTCTCCAAAAGGTGATCAGATCGGCAGAGCACTGCTCCTTACTTTTTGCCAGTGGGGACGATTGAGTTCCATTTGGACAACGTTCAAGGACCTGCCCAGTACCTTCGTTGCAAAAGAAGCACGCTTGGCATGGGAACTGCTGTCGCGTTGTATAAGCAGACCCCGCAGGACAGTAATAACCAGCAGGACAAAGGTTGTTGAATTGAGTTTCGGGGGTCGTGCCGTATCCACAGTAGTAGCCGTCGGGACATTTGTGCTCAGCGATCGACGTACGCGCATCGCACACGTAGCCTTCTGGACACAACTCTGCCTGGCCATCCGGATCAAGCTGCGTTAGAATGCACCTGTTGGCATCATACGACTCACTATCGGCGTCGCAGAAAGCAGAATATACGTTTGTTGCCAGCGTTCCTGAACCTCGGGGTTTGTTGTTGCTCATACCGTCAATCGCACACACAAGTCCGGGATTGCATGGAATGCACATGGAACCTTCAGTTAGAGCGATTGCGGATGACCAAGTCCCTTTCGGACACTGGCGACAGGCGATCGGATCTCGAGCCGAACGGAAGTAACCGGGTTGACAGGCAGTCGGCTTGAAAGTTCCTTCGTCGACACACTCATAACCGGCAGGACATTTGAGACACTCCTGAAAGCCTTCGTATGGAGTGTACGTACCAGGAAGACACGTGACCGCCGCTGTGTTTCCCTCACCAAAGGTATAAGAACCTCGTGGAGAGGGTATTGGAATATACGTCCGTTTTGGACAGTAATGGCCAGCAGGACACGGTCTCATCGGATTGTAGACGTCCTGTGCTGAGTCAGAGACAATTGTAGAATCACCTGTGGCCCATTCGCAGAAGCTCCCTTCCTTGCATGGTTGTGGTTGTTTAAACGAACCTTCCAGCACTACGTCTGTTGTCACTCCTTCTGTACAGAACGTTGTTGGAGGACAGGGCTTTGGTCGAAAGTTCTCCTTATTCAACGGAATCGGGGATGCGGTCAAAATACTTTCTTCGTCAACAACTGCCAGTGGATCACGAGTTACTGTGTTTTCCAGACAGTAGTGACCCGCAGGGCAGCGCGTGCCGGCGACGGCTAAACCCTCAGTATCACACACAAAGCCAGGCGTACAGACTTCTGGCAGTTCACGGGCGAAACCTGGACAAATGGTTCCCTTCGGACACTTTTTGCACGTCTGTTGACCGTACTCGGAGTTGTATTCCCCAGGGAGACATGGTTTTGGCTCTGTGTTGGCAACTCCGGGACAATACACCCCCTTATTTGGGCATCGAAGTTGCTGCCCGGGAGGACAGTAATGACCGGGCGGACACGGACCAGTTCCTTGCGGCGTCATAGAACCAGGCTCGCATACGTAGCCCGCGTAACATTGCTGTGGAGTGCTGAAATTGTGCACAATACTTGCACTTGAGACGACGCCAGCGGTGCAGTACATCCCAAATGGACATGGTAAAGGTCGTTCGGCGACGGCGAAGTTGGTAAAGTCACTCGTTCTCGTGCCCTCTAAGCAATAGTGACCAGGAGGGCAAAGCTTGTTTGGAATCGCAAGGCCTGTTGTATCGCACACGTAACCCTTTGGACACACAACTGGTATAAACGCGCCCGCGTCAGGAGAAATGAATCCAATTGGTGTCGGGAGACAGTTGGACTGACCCGTTCTCGGTTGAAAGCTCCCAGGCGAACACAGTGTGAAATTCTTTCCACCATCGCAAAACGCACCCCGTGGACATAAAACGGGTTCATTCCCGGGGCAGTATGATCCAGTAGGACACTGTGCGAAATGGAACAACAATCTACTGTCCGAAAAGTCGACACCATTCACAGAAACTTCAACAAACACGGTGCGAGTACCGGTCTGCTCCAAGCCCGCTACGCATAGCACTGATCGCGAAGATAAGTACGTCGCAGCCGTGAGCTCTCGACCGAAGCGACACACCATGGTGGAAGAGTTGACAAAATTCGATCCTGTGATGAAAATTGGACTTCGACTGCCGCTCAAACCAACTTTGGGAACGATGCCCGAAATCGTCGGCGGAACTCGAAAATAGTACATCAGCGGCGGCGACGCTGATACTATATCGCGGTTGTTCGGAGAAATGCTCACCTCTGGGGGACCCAGAGTCATATTGTAGGCTGGTGTGATGCACGTCACAACGTTGCTTTGCGTCACATACGCCGTAATCGGGAAGATGGTCCCGATTTTGCAACTGTAACGCACGCTGTCCTGCAAGCCACTCACTGAGATGGAAAGTGTTGTTCCACCGTTTTCAGAGCCTGATTCCGGAGATAGGCTCTTAAGAGCCAAGTTTTCGACGTACGAGAACGGTGTACCGTAATGGGAAATCATGGTGCTGTCGTCCCGAAGACCCATACCCGCGCCCTCAACCTCCGCATTCAACTGCGGGGGTGAGACGCAGACACCAACAGATGTTGAGACGATGTGCGCATCCGACTTACGAGTGCCAAAGTAGCAATAGCCGATCTCGTGAAGATTATCTCCGCTCACGTGTACCAGCGTTGTACCATTCGTTGGACCTTGCATCGGATGCATACTGGCGATCTTTGGTTGCTTAAAAATTTCAAACTCAGCGTGCGCAGAAGTATCTGTTGCAACCATCCACGTTATGACGGAGAAACCAACGTCAGTGAATGGGATTCGACAGAGGCCTGTGTATACATTTGCAAGAGAACCTTCCATGAACATGGTCGCGTTTATCTTGCACCCATAGCGCACGTCTGCTGGGTTGGTAACGTACGGCGGGTCAGAGACAAACCGCACATCCTGATCCCCTGTTGAAATCCCCCTCATAGGAAGCACAGCTCGCATGTCAAACGGGAATGATGTGACGTGTACAAAGTCACTCACGAACATATTGTCTTGAGAGTTGTGAGTAAGCCAAACGGAAATCGTTGTGGCTTCAACTGCTGCAGGAGATACGCACGTGACATGAAGCCCGTCTTCACCCTGTTCCAGTGCAAGTATGGGGCCGATGGTGCCGAAGCGGCAGAATATCTCGGCGGCAGCAGGAGTGTTCCGGGCCACGTTCAAGTTGACCAAATCGACTGTGAGGCGAGCACCTCCGTTGGGCGAAAGATACTGTTCAGGATGTGGTACCATGAAATAGTCGTCAACGTACTGAAACGCGGCATCCATCTGCGAAATCGCGTCAGGGTTATCACGCGGACTGACTCCAAGCGACACGAGCGTTGAAGTCCCCGGCTCAAGCGAGGTGTACGTTGGTGATGTACACACACCCAAAGCAGATGAGATCGGGATTGCATCACTTTTGTCCACGCCGAAGTGACAGTAATCAGAGTTGTGCAAATTTTTCCCGGAAACGTGCACTACAGAGGAACCTTTGTCAACACCGACAGAGGGAATGGAGCCAGTTATGCTGGGTGAGACAAACATTTCAAAGGAAACACCTGCCCCTTCGAACCCGATCGTTCGTAATTCAACGAAACCGATGGAATGCGACGGTACGATGCACGTGAGCTCATACGTAACGCATGCGAAACGATTTCCTCCTGTGCAACGCGATATCTCGTTGTTCGACTCACCTTGAACGACTGGTACGGAAGTGTATCCAAACATACAACCTCTTGACGGATAACTGTCTTCATGCGCCAAAACCCCAAGTGTGACGCGCGCACCGCCCTGAGATGAATCTCTATCAGGAACGGCATCCATGATTTCGAAATCTTCTTCTGCATAAACCAGAGTGAAGTGTGTGAAGTGTGGCGATGATAAATGCGAGGCAAGCCATACTCGAATAGAGTCTGTCAGGGAGTGCGCCGGGGCGACAAACTCAATTCTCGTGCCAGCGTTTCTACCGAGCAAAGGGCCTATAGAACCAACTCGCACGGATGCGGTATCCAGCGTTTGTTCAAGTGTCGATGTAGACGCCACGACGTTGGCTTGCACAACGACTCCACCCGAAGAGGGTACGAACTCTTCCCGAAAATCCACGAACGTAGGAACTGGCAAGTAACGAATGGGCATCGACATCATTTCATCATAGCCTGCACTCCCGCCATTATCAACGTGAAGATCGACATCACCTTCATTCTCAGAGAAGAACGGCGATTCACATGAAATGAAGGCCGTCGAATGCACTTGCGCGACCATGCTTTGATCACCAAAGTAACATAATACCGATTCAGATCCCGTCGCAGGATCGAAATTGTGCAAGAAATTTTCACCACTTACCGTCACTAATTCGCCGCCCGTGTTGCTAATCAAAGTCGGGTAAGAGACCGTTAAGTAAGGTTCGGGTTGGAACAAGAATAGAGCGTCATCGGCGTCTTTACCAGGAGCCGCGCCCAGAGTTACTTGAGCGAATCCAGGAGTGTATGGAGGCATGATACATTCCGAGACGTAAACGTAAGGGCTCGGCGTAGGCAGCACGAGTGTTGAGTCAACGAATAATCCAGCGACGTGGCACTTCACGCTCACACCTGTACTATTTTCGTGAAGGATTCGAATCGAGGATCCACCACTCATCGCCCCGAATGATGGATAAACCGCTGAAGACACCACTTCAATTGTCTCGCGATACGTGAATTTGTGGACGGTCCGAGTGAACATCTCACCAAAGAGCCTAGCAAACATCTCAACTTCGCCAAGTTTGTGCGACGGAACATGGCATTCCAGTCCAGTGCCAGTCAACTGTCCAAGCACTGGACCGATGGTACCGAATTTGCAGGCGGTGTAATCGAACGATTGTTGGTACCGCTCGATGGCGTAGTAAACCGTCACGATACCGCCTCCCTCCTCATTGCCTTCGACAGGCAACACATGCAGTGGGGCGTCATCTTCCTCAAAGAAGTTAAAGACCAAACCAGTTGACTTGAATTCGTCATCGTTCAGACTCGACGATCCAGGCGAGAGGAAACTGAGCACAACCGATTCGGCACTGCTTTGCGGTTGCTCAACAAAGCATAGAGCACTGGAAATAAACTTTCCTGTCGATAACTCCGCAGTACCGAAAATGAACTTGTCCTGCATTGGCTCGCTGAAGTGTTCGCCGGTCAACTTGACAATTTCACCGCCGCCTTTTGTGCCATCATGAGGATGTATCGCCCTAACTTGAGCGGTCGTTTCATACATCACTTGCATGGAGAATGATCCAGATACGCTCACGTCCTGAACATGCACGCCCACGGCGACGAAACCGGAGCTGTGAGCCGGTGCAAGGCACTGAACTCGACCATCTGATCCCACGCTAGCAAGGACAGGGTCAAGATTGAATACACAAGCGATTGACAATATCTCGATAGAAAATGCCGGACGAATGCCGGACGAATTCAAGGGAATTTCAAGCAAAGATCCACCGTCTAACCACACTGATGCGCGCTGTGAATCGGTAACTTCCAAAATACTCGCGAAATACTCGTAAGAAAGCGAATTGAATGCGCTATCGCGATTGTTCATAGTGACTGTCACGTTGACGAACCCAGGAGAATGAGCCGGTAGCACACACACGACTCTTTCAGAAGATCCATGTGTGAGCGTGATGCCAGAGATGGTACCAACTCGACAGAACATGACGCCCAAGTCTGTGGAGAAGTCACCAAAAATTTCAATTGCACTTCCGCCAAATTCCACACCTCGTGCAATTGGGTGGTCGGTCTCGACCTCGGGCAATGCTTCATAACGAAGGTCCACACTCGTCGACCGCTCTGCATCATTGTAAAGGAGCTGAACATCAACATCACCCTCACCAGTTGGTGTGGTGCATATGACAACGGCTGAAGAAACCAAATGAACTTCAGACGTTCTCCGGCTTGCGCCTACGGAAAAGACGCAAGACACGCTATAATTTGAACCCCCCCACATCATATTTGATCCATGCACGTACACTAAACTACCGCCTATCGTTGGTGCGGTATGAGGAGCCAGGCTTGTGAGTCTTGGTTTTGTCACGTACTGAAAGTCCACTCCGTAAGTGATGAAGTCATGTGAATTCATGGACACTTCAATCACTGTGAATCCGGACTTTGATGCAGGCGCGTTGCAAACGGTCGTATTAGAAACTTTGACAGCGTTTGATCCCGTGTATCCAAACTTGCACGTGCGATCATTTCCGTAAAAGCCACTGTCATGAAGCGTCACCGCAACACCACCACTGAAAAATCCTGATTCTGGTGTGGCCACAAAGGCGTTCTGAGATGACTGCTGCGATGACAAGGCTTCTTTATACTCGTAAGTGATCGCCGAGTTCATCAGCTTGATTGCAGATCCAGTATCGTGATGAAACACTTCCACTGGGACGACACTAGTGATGTGTGCCGGGGAGATGCATGTCGCACGATTCTTTGCCAGCCACCTACCAGCAACGTTCAGTATGGTGCCGATCCGGAACGAAATTACAATATCCGTGCGTAAATCTTGAGCACTAAAAGCAAGGATCGTGCCCCCCTGAGTGGTCCCACTCGAGGGAGACACTGCGGTCAGAACAGATGACGAAGTGTTTATAAACTCGAACGGTAATCCCGGAATGCTCCAGTCAAAGGCATTGTTTGAAATCGCTAGATCATGAAATCCAACCTCCATACTAGGCGCCTCACACACAACTTGAGAGGTCGAAATAAATACTGCGGGAAATGGAGCTAGGGTACCAAACCGACACAACGAAGTTGGTGAAAAATGATCTCCGTTGACGGTGACGATGAGCCCTCCGATAGCAGGGCCAAACATGGGACTCAGGTGATTCAGTTGTACCTTCCTCGTCAGTATGTTGTTTGCATCTGTAGTCGATACGATATTGTTTCCCTTGCTATCCACGATGGTAATATCGTATTCATCCACGCCGTTGTTGTCTTCAGGCAAACCACAGAGCACAGAACCATCGCTAAGGACAACCCCTGGAACGAGGGCATCACCGTTGCCGAGATTGCAATACACATCCTGACCTGGAACGAATCCATCACCAGTTATCGTGGCCGTGTCATCTTGATTATCGATGATCGTTGTTACGCTGGCATCATCCGCGTATAGGAAAGTGATCGGCGGACCATCGGCAAACATGGCACCGAACTCGTTCAACATGCCAACATCAAAATTCACGAGTCCCTTCTCGTGTGCTGGGGACACACATCTGTACTCATCTTCGGCAACCCACTCGCCCACAACCGGACCAATGGATCCGAAATAACACGCTAAATCATGCGTATCACTGAATGAGTGTCCCGCGGCCGTAACAGTGGTCCCGCCCTCGATCAAACCCATGAAAGGAGACAAAGCCGTGACCACTGGTGGGTGGTCAAACAAAAACTGGGGCTTCATGTTAACCTCTGGCGAGGTTGCTACAACCGATACGTCCAGAGTGTAAGCGCCTTCGAGCATAGCTGACGTTTCACAAATCATCAGCGCTGATGACACTAACTTCGCAGCCGCGTTTATTGTACCAAAACGGCAGACTGGATTGTCCTGCAGCAAATGCTGCCCCTCTACGTAAACCAAAGTCCCACCCCCTACAGCGCCATACCTGGGCGCGATTCTAGTAATTTCTATGATTTCTTTCATTTCGAGCTGCATACGATCCCAGATAGCGGTAGAATACATAAAATCTTCACCATTTGCCGCCACGGCAACTGTCACAAAACCGACCATGGCTGGGGCAACGCAGCTCACGATATTCTCGCCGCTACGAACAGCCGGGACTGAGCGTGATCCGAATCTACACGTAAGCTCTGGAGTCGATACGACGCCTGGAACCGTTATAGACACGTGCGAAGAGCCAGCCGTGGACACTTGTGATGGTGAGATTGCGTCTACGGTGAGACTCGGGCCAAAAGTGAAACTCTTTGTGAAGGTTGTGAAATCCCGTTGATTCATCGACACCCCGAACGACTTTGCCTCCGTAACCGTCGCCGGTGTCGTACATTCCAAGGTAGAGAGCATTTGCCAAACGGCTGTCACCTCGACTGCGCCGAACCGACATCGTAACAAACTTGTTGGTGCAAAGTTTTGTCCAGTCACTGTGACGGTCGTACCGCCAGAGCTCGTCCCGAAGGAAGGACTCACGCGACTAACGGACGGTTCGCCGATGTAAACGTGCTGCACGCTACTATACGCCTCAAAGAAGCTGGATTCCGTCAGAGAAACGTCAACTGATACGGTGCCGATATCGATTGAGGGCGATTCGCAACGCATCAACCCGGAGGAAACAATGTATCCAGTCGTCGTGCGGTCACCAAACCGACAATACTGAGAAACGTGCATATCGGCACCCATGACGTCCACGACCCCTCCAGAGATACCATAGATCGAGGTTAACGCGTCCACTTTCGCACCTCCCACGAACTGATACCCCTTGGTCCTCAGAAAGTCCCCAGTTTCGTTGTTGAGCGCGAACTCCACGTTAACGAACCCCTCCGTGTGTGCCGGCGCCGTGCACTTCACCGTTTCATCGTCCACGTAGTACGCGCGAACAAATTCAGTATCAAACTTACACGTCAGCTCCACCCCGGGTAAGTTTCGCACGCTCGCCAACGTTCGTCCCGAGAGCGTGACGACTTCGCCTCCCCCCACGTGCCCGACGTTCGGCCTCATCCACTCCACCTCCGGGATCTCAAACGCGCTCGCGAGCAGCGTGCGCGCGGACGCGATCAACACCATCACCAGTAAACTCCACGCGCGACGGCATCGACCGCGTCTCCCCCCCTCGAGCGTCATCGCGAGCGTAAATCCACCGTCAGCGCTCGTTCAGCCTCTCACGTCTTCACCCGTTTCGACGACCCACGCGCGCGTGCTCGCGCGCGCGTCATGGAAGATATCGATCCGTCCGCCCCTCGGTCCCGCGCGGACGACCGTTCGCGGACGACCGTGGCCTCGCGCGCGCGTCTTCGCGACGCGCCGAGGATGAATTTGAACGCCCGCGCCGAGGGCCGCGGGTCCACCGTCGCGAATGTTCGCGCGTATGTGTTTTTAGTACGTGATGTGCGAAACACATAGAGCACGACGGAAACAACCGTGAAAGAGACAGACGTACCCCGATCGACCCTGATTTTGGACCGAGGCGAGCGCGCGCGCGCATCGGCTCCGCCTTTTACAAGCGCGCGACGGTGCGTGCGCGACGACGTGCGCGAGATCTCGCGAGATCGATCGCGCGACGAACGATATCGATCGCGTCGAGGCGGCGTCGAGGGCGTCGACGGGGCGCCCGCGCGGGCGACGCCGTCGACGAGCTCGAGCGAGAGACGTCGTGGAGGGATTAGGGTCACGGGACGATCGACGGCGGACGTCCGAGCGCGCGCGCGAGCGAGAAGACGGAGCGTTGAAGAGCGAACGATCGAGAAGAGAGACTGACGTGTAATATTTCCCGTCTCGTTCGTCGGCGCAGTCAGGGAAGATGGTGACTCCGCTCATCAAGCACAAGATCGTCAAGAAGCGCAAGGCGACGTTCAAGAAGTATCAGTCGGACCGATACAAGCGCATCGCTAACGTACGTGCGCGACGACGCGAGCTGAGACACGCGCGAGAGAAAATTTTGTCGGCGTTCACGGGCGATCGCGAACGAGGACGAGCGTCGCGTCGACGGAGGGCGACGTTAAGGGTGACGGTGGAACAGACCCTAGGACAGGGTCGAGGCGGTTGACGACGCGAACGCGCCGCCCTGGGCTTGGGCAAGGGATGGAGAGGGATCGACGACGACTCGAGAGCACTCTGAGACTGACCGAACGCTCGCCATCGTAACGAAACGCAGACGTCATGGAGACGCCCGAAGGGTATTGACTCCCGCGAACGCCGCAAGTTCAAGGGCTTGCCGCCGATGCCGAACATCGGTTACGGTACGGCGAAGAAGACGCGACACCTGTTGCCGAACGGCTTCTTGAAGTTCACTGTCCACAACGTGAAGGACCTTGACCTCCTCCTCATGCACAACCGCAAGTACTGCGCCGAGATCGCGCACAACGTGTCCACGCTTCACCGCAAGGCCATCGTTGAGCGAGCGAAGCAGCTCAACGTGAAGGTGTCCAACGCCGCGGCTCGTCTCCGCAGCGAAGAAGACGAATAAACATTGTCTTCGTAGCCTTAAACTTAGGAGCAGCGTCGACGAGGAGGGTGTGAATCAACTTGGGATAGTAGAAATTAATTTTGTTTGTTGCAATGCAAGTGCAGTAATGAACGGAAACCGCCGTTGTCGCCGCGCGCTCTTCTCAACGCCTTCTCGATCGCGAAATGAGTGACTCGACGTCATCAGGATCATAACATCGCGCTCGCACCTCGATTTTCACTCGCGATAGGACGCACTCATCCGCGCGCCCGTTGTCCAACCGCGAGCGTCTCGCTCTCCTCACACGCGCGCGTTCGTCCACCTTACGATGGCGGACGACGCCGTCACCGACGACGAAGCCGTCGCGGCGACGTCGAATGAGATATTGTCCGCGTCGCCTCTCGACTCCCTGGTCGAGATTGAGCGCTTCGTCGACGTCGTGGAGACGACGCTCGCGGACGATTACTCGAGCGACGTCCAAGGTTCGACCGCGCTGGATATCGCGGCTAAATACTGCCGAGACTGTCACGTTTCGTCGCAGCGACTGTATCACGTGAACGCACTGTCCAAGGTGTGCGAGGGGTTGGACGACGAGCACGCGTTCCCGGTGGATTTGATCGCTGAGCTCGCGGAGGACGATGACAACGAAGTGCGGAGGAGCGTGGCGGCTCAGTTGGATCGGTTCGCCTCGTGCCTTGGAAGATTGAGCTCGAGATTGGATACCGTGAATGCGATCAAATTGCTGGGGGTGATGTTTATGCTGATAGAAGACGATTGCGAAGATGTGATTGAGGCTGCGGAGAGCACGTGCGGAGCCGTGGCGGCGTTGCTTTCATCCGAGAAGCAGAGGAGCCTTCTGATCTCGACGCTCAAGAGCTTCGGGGAGAGTGAGGAGGAGGAGATTAGGATTAGTGCGGCGAAGACGCTAGGGAGGCTGTCGGAGGTCGTGGGTTTGGAGATTACGAAGAGTGAAATGCTCCCTTGCTTGCTCAACTTGGCACGTGATGAAGAGTTCAGAGTCAGAGAGGCCGTTGCGTCGGCGCTCAGCGACACGTTCGAGGTATTGGGCGCACACGATACATTAGATTTAGTTTATCCCGAGTTTATGTTTCTGAGTAGAGACGCCATCTGGGCCGTGCGCGCCGCCTGTGCCAGGAACATAGTCCATCTTGTCAAAGCTGTGCCATCTGACGTGATGCTTCAAGTGGCTTCGGAGGCGTTTGAACCGCTGGCCAATGACGTGAGCTTCAAAGTTCGAAGTTCGGCTTTCGAACAACTTGGACCACTAATCTTCGCGCTGAGCTCCGTGGAGGTACCGAGTATTTTTGTGGACTACTTCACGAGCATGGCAGAGAGTTCAACTGTGAATGGTGCACTGCACGAAACCTGCGCTTACAATCTACCAGCTGTGGCTCTATCGCTCACAGAGCTACGTTGGGGCGAAATACGTCAGACGTTCCGCCTACTTGCGTCGAGTCTGAACTGGAGAGTCCGACGCACTTTGGCGTGCTCTCTCCACGAGGTGGCCAAAATCATCGGTAGGGATAACTCCGAAAAGGATTTACTACCAATCTTGGAGAAAATTCTAGAGGATACTGACGAGGTTAAAATCGGCGTCATCGAACACCTGAGTGAAGTTTGCAACGTGATCGGTTCGGCGGCTCGGCTTTCATTGATTCGACTGTTATCTTCAATGCACTCGGAAGACGCAGAAAATATTGGCAACTGGAGGATTCGCTTCGCGCTAGCGGAGCAGATTCTTCCCATAGCTGAGTCGCTGAGCGGTGCTGCGAGTGCGGAGTTTCTATTTCCTATTTTGCTGTCCTTCTTGCACGATGCGGCATCTGTGGTGCGCGAGAAGGCTGTTGAAATCACTGGACGAGTGCTATTCATCGCGGCGAAAGATCTCACGTGGTACTCTGAATCGATTGTGAACGCGCTGTCGTCAATTAAGTTGCTCGCCACGAGTCATAGATGGTCTGACCGCCGGGCGTACGTGAACATATGCCTAACTCTGACGAGAGAAGTCGAACAGCGCCTCATCGTGGACGAGCTCTTGCCCTTGCTGGTGATGCTCGCCGAAGACACGGCTGCCGTCGTGAGGGTCGCCCTCTGCCATTTCTTGGACGAAACGCTTCGGTTAGATCCCACGTATGCTTCGCTTCCAGATATTAGTGCGGCACTGAGTATACTGAAGATCGATGAAGAGGCTTCGGTGCGCGCAGCAGCGGAGCGCGCCGAAGCCGGCTCAACATCAAAACCGGGCGAGACGTCTGAGGGATTCACGAGCGCGCGTGAGTTACAATTCTCGCCGACTGGATTATGATATTAGATTGATTTGTAACATATGGCTAATTGTATTGTAAACCGGGCGAGGCATCCTTTCATCATTGGTAGACACCCACTTCCGCGGCGCGAATGACACGCTCGTGGAGCGTGTACCCTGTCTTCGTCACCGCCGCCACGGTTCCCGCCTTCGCGTCTGATCCCTCGGGAATCGGAACGTTGAACAGAGCCATGTGGAGGTTCGCGTCAAACTCCTCGCCCTCGGGGTTGAACTTGGCGACACCGTGCTTGTTGAACGTGGACGAGAGCTGCTTCTCCGTCAGCACCACACCCTCCCGGAAGCTCTTCAGCTTAGCCTTTATCTTCTCGACATCCGTCTCGATCTCTTCCTCCGGCACGGTCGAGATCGCTCGGTCTAGATTGTCCGCCACGTCCAGCAAATCCTTACAGAATCCCTGAACCGCGAACTTCTTCGCGTCCTCCGCCTGGCGACGCGTGCGCTCGCGAAGATTCTCCATCTCAGCCATGGTTCGCAAAATCCTATCCTTCAGGTCAGCCACTGCCGCGTCCTTCTCCTCCAACTCTCCTCGAAGCTTGGCGATCTCGTCATTTTCTTCGCCCTCGATCTCTTCGCCCTCCTCGGACGCCACGTCCGCGCCTTCTTCCCCACTCTTCCCGTCCTCGGTGGCGTACGCGCGAGCGCGCGTCCAACTCGCCGTCATCCATCGCGCTCGTTCGCGCCACGATCCCGTGTCGATCGCGGTCGAGCTCGCAAACGTTCGCGTTGCCGTCCGTTCGTTCGCGTTCGAGCGATTCGCGATCGCGCGAACGTCCTGGGTCGTCATCGCGATCGACCGAGCGGAACCTCTCATCGTCATCGCGCCCGCGGGCGTCGCGCGCGTCGTCGCGACGCGATCGAGGCATCGAGCGAGCTCACAGGCGTAGCGTCGTCGCATCTCGATCGTCGAAGTGCGTCAAAGTGTGCGGACCGGGTGTACGAGGAGCCACGGAGGGGTGTGGGCACAGGTTTTCTGATGAAATATCACGCGCACGCGGTGCGTGAATAATATTTAATATGCGTTCGCGTCTTCGAGGACGATTCTACGCTCACGCGAGCACGGCATCGAGATCGATGGCGTCGATGGCCGCCTTGGCGACGTCGTTGGCGTCGTCGCGCTTCATCTGACTGCTGGCATCGATGACGCTCACATCCGTGATGCCGAGCAAACCGAGGAACGTGACCACGTGCGGGGTCATGAAATCCATCCCGGACGCGTTCATGGGAACGCCACCGCTCGTGACAACGATGAACGCCTTCTTCCCCTTGAGCAGACCCTCAGGAACGCCTTGGTCGTTGTACTTGAACGTGACGCCTGCGCGGGCGACTTGGTCAAAGTACGCCTTGAGGGCGGCTGGCACGCCGAAGTTGTCTGCGCGCGTGACCCATCACGAGGTCCACCGTCAGTCTCGCATTCACCGTCCCTTTACAAAGAGTCGATTCGATTACTTAAACGTCGCTCGATGCGCGCGAATGATACGGTCTACTACTCGACGCACACATTGCGGCGCCGACGACGACGACGTCGCTCGAGCGCAACTCCTCGATCAACCCGTCGCTCTCTCTGAGCGTCTCCCTCTGGGCATCCGTTCGGTTTTCCTCCGGCGTGAATGATGCCCCTATCCACTGCTCATTCACGAACGACGGCGGCTGCGTCGCCCCCACGTCGCGAGTCTTGATGACGACGCGTTCTCCCACGTGCGACTTGATGCGATCGACGAGCGCCTGGCTCAGCGCGCGCGACGCGCTTCCGCTCATCCGGGCGCTCGAGTTGATGTGTAAGATGGTTCGCACGGCACTCATGACGATTCGCTCAAACGTCGATCGACGACCACGTCTTAAAGTGATGCGCGGCAGATGGAAAGTGGCTTCTTCTGGGGCGGTGCCGATTGGTATGACGTCGGGGTCGACGAGTCCGGACTCAGAAATCTAAACCCCAGCCCACCATCTCAGAGCCACCTCGAATTGGTCGAATTTCAACCCTGATGCGCAAAAATCCAAACGCGAGCGACGGAACGGTTTCCCACATCGAAGAAGTCGATGAGTTTTCGACGCGAATGAGACGAAAAAGTAAAGAGCACGCGTTCTTGAACACGGTTTACAACAATATGTCTAGAAAGAATACACTTTTGTCGTTTTCACTTCTTCCTCGAAGCGGCGCGCGAAACGCTCTTCCCGCTCGACATTTCTCTCCTCGGTGGACCCGTAATACGGTTCTGCGCGATCTTTGGCGCGAATTTGTCCCTCAAGTGCTTTTTGATGCTTCACGTTCTCTTCCTTTGCGATCCTGAGCTTTTCGTCGAGCTGACGCCTCGCGAGTTCCATGTCTTCTTCGTTGCGCTTTCGCCATTCGCGTTCCTCCGCATCCTCCGCGCGTCTCTTCGCCTCCGCTTCGGCGATTTGTTGACCTCTCACCGCGTTAACCTCTTGTATTAATTGCTGACGCTGGTAATTTTCGAGATTTTCGCGCTCGCGCACCTTTTGTTCGTGTCGCAAACGGTCTTCTTCAATCGTCAAATCATCCGATTCGTTCTTCGCATGCTGCTCCGCGACGAGCTCGTCCAGGAAACTTCGGAAAAGAATCTCTTCTTCCATGCGTCGTTGAGCCAACTGAGCTTGCTCTTCTTCATACAGTCGCTCTTTTTCAATCGCACTTTCAATGATTTTCGCGTCGCGCTCTCTCTCGCGCTTGAGCTCCGACAGCAACTCCAACCGTCGAAGCTCGTTCTCCTTGAGCAAGGCGGCGTTCGCATCGCGCCGCCTAAGCGCCTCTTGGCTCTGATTTCGCTCGTAAGTAGTCGCTTCAGTTTCCCACTGCGCGTTGAGACGCGCTTGATCGGCCCGCTGGCGCTCAAAACGCTCGTGACGATCTCTCTCACGCTCGGCCATTTGTTCCCGCAGAGCGAGGGAATGCGCGTCTCGCGAAGCTCTCAACGATTCATCTCGAGCATCGAGGAGCGCAGAATTCTCCGCCCGTCGCCGCAAAATCGCTGCATTTATTCGTTTCGCTCGTTTTCCTTCCTCCTCAGCCAAACGCCTGCGCTCATCGATTTGCATTTGCCGTCCCAAAACCACCTCGCGCGAGAGCTCTGCGCGCGCCTGCGCGCGACATTCTTCGTTGGACTCTTTCCACTTCTTGTACTCCATCTCCTCCACGTATCTCCTCCGCGCTCGCTCTCGGTCGTCCAATAATTTTCTCGCTCGCGTCTCAAGCGCCATTCTTCGCGCGTCGGCGCTCGTTCGCGTCCCCGCCATCTCCGCCGCGTGGCGCTCGTCCTCTCGCGCGAGCTTTTCTCGCAGCGCCGCCCGCCGCTCTTCAATCCTTCCTCCCACTCGATCGCGGGCGCGCGCGCTCCCTCGACCGCACCGATCGCTCCGCCGCTTCCGCCCCTCTCGATCGCCACCGCACGTCCTCTCCCAATCGCGTCATCGCCTGCGCATCGCGCAGTCATCGCTCGTCAGTCCGCCTCGACGGTTGACCCACGGCGCGCTCGAGCGCTCGAGCGTCCGTTCGCACCTCGACCCGCGCGCGCGCATCGGCGTATCGCGCGTCGACCCGTCGTCGCTCCACCGCCGCGTCCGCCGCGCTCGAGCGTCCACGATCCCCCATCGTCACCGTGTGTCGAGACGTCTAAATTTAAATCACATCATCATCATCCATCCTCGCGTGCGACGATGCGTCGATTCGCGCTCGTTTTCACTCACCGACGAATTCACCGAGCGAGCGATGTCCACCTTGGCGGAGAGTTTTCTCGCGGATTTAGACGCGCTGAGCGATGCGGAGGACGACCGAGGCGCGGACGCGCACGGCGACGCGCGCGCGGACGGGGGCGAGGACGGGACGACGGTGGCGGGCGAAAGGATGATGGGTGGGGAAACGCTGCGAGCCTCCGACGACGTGGACGATGTCTCGACGCTCAGGACGACGGAGAGATACAGAGAGATCACGTCGGCGGTGGATGAAGCGCTGAGGAAGCGTGAAAACGCGATGGAGACGACGGAGAGTGGGAAAGCGCTCGGGGCGGTGGACCGCGGGGCGGAGGCGCTCGTGATGAAGTGCAACGCGCTCACGGTGGAGGTGGATAATGAGATCGCGATCGTGCACAGATTCATCAAGGATAAGTACAAGAAGAAGTTTCCCGAGCTCGAGTCTCTGGTGTTGCACCCGATCGATTACGCGCGAGTGGTGAAGGCGATCGGGAACGAGACGGACATCATGGGCGTGGACCTCGACGGCGTCCTCCCTTCGGCGACCATCATGGTGGTGAGCGTCACGGGATCGACCACATCGGGCGTGCCTCTGAGCGAGAGCGATTTAGAGAAGACTCTGATCGCGTGCGATAGGGCGTTGGAGCTGGATGAGTCGAAAAAGAAGATGTTCAACTACGTGGCGACGCGCATGGCGGACACGGCGCCAAACCTGAGCGCCGTGTTAGGAAGCGACATCGCCGCGCAGCTCATCGGCATAGCCGGTGGTTTGCACGCCCTATCGAAAATGCCGGCGTGTAACGTGCAAGTTTTGGGATCGAAGAAGAAAAATACGGGCGGAATGTCGAGTGCGTCCGCCATACGCTCTGGGGACATGCACGCCGGATACATTTACGACTGCGACATCATCCAGAAGAAAACGCCCCCGGCGTGGCGAAGCAAGGCTGCGCGCCTGATTGGGGCGAAGTGCACACTCATGGCGCGCGTCGATGCCTTCGGTCAGGCGCCCGATGGATCGATGGGTCAGAAATTTGCGGAAGAAATTATCAAGAAGATTGAGAAGTGGCAAGAGCCGCCACCCGCGCGCACGGCAAAACCGCTTCCTGCGCCCGGAATCGAGGCGAAGAAGCGACGCGGTGGTAAGCGAGCTCGAGCGCTAAAGGAAAGGTACGGAATTACGGACATGCGCAAGGCTGCCAATCGCGTCAACTTCAACGAAGTGGAAGAGGTTGGCTACGACGGCGAAGGCCTTGGTTTGTTGGGTTCATCCGCGGGCTCAGCGGCCATCGCTGGAAGGTTGCGACTGCAGGCCAAGGCGGCAAAACTCATCAAAACAGATAACAAAGGTGGTAAGTCGACTTTTGCGAGCACGTCTGGCACCGCTGGGACGGCGTCTAGCTTAGCCTTCACACCGATTCAAGGTATCGAGCTCGTGAATCCGAACAGAGTACAATCGGATGGACCCGTTTCCGGCACCGATTCCGTCTTTTCGGAGCGCCGCGGTTTCTCCAACGTCGCGCGTCAGCTCAAGCGGTGAAGTACGGCACAATTTTAGCGTTCATTGATGTACAGACTGTAGAGAACTAATCTAAAACTAAGGTGAACTAGCCTTGCGCAAATATCGGTGTCCTCGCAGAGCGCGCGCGTTGGCGGCTCGTTTTCGCGACAACACGTCACGAATACGCGCGTCTAGTTCGTTTCCTATTGTAAATTGACAAATCAAAGCTCAGACTTCTCCTGTTTGATCGGATCGAATCCTCTCTCGCTCAAGTACTCCTTCACTTGGTCCACCGTCCACTCGCTTGTCAACACCACTGACTCCACGTTCGTCCCTTTATCGTCCTGCATGTGTATCGTCGGCGCGTGTCCGTGCGTCCACAGCACGCTCACTTTGTCTCCGTACTTCCCAACCTCCACGACGTCCTTGATGAACGCCTTGATCTCGGGAAGTCGGTTCAATCGTCAACCCGGGCACGACTGAAACTGCGCTCGAGCGTACGACGTTGCGGACTCGGCGAGCGCCGACGACGCGCACGCGAGGAAGAGCACGAAGGCGAAGAGAAAACTCGCGCTCGAGCGTCGTCGAGCGACCGTCATGATTCGCTCCTATAACGTCGCGCTCCCGACGAGCTCTGAAGTAACCCGTCGGGTCTCGCCCGTTTTCCTTCTTCTCGGTCTATCCATCGTCACCTTTCAAGTCATCTTCCGTCGCTCGCGCCGCACATCTCGACCCTGGGGTGATCATAAACATGCAGAGCGCGCTCACGACGTCGTCCAAGGTGACGCTCACCTCCAAGCCTCGATCAACGCGCGCGCGGGGCTCATCGGCGGTCGTCCCGAGAGCGTCCGCGAGCGATGACGCCACCAAGTGTACCGGGTCGTGCGATTCGTGTGGACTGGCGAGGGATAAGATGCAGTGCGACGGAAGCGGAAGGATCCAGGGCGGGATGGGGGCGATCCCTCTATTCTCGTGGTGGCCCATCAAGGCGTACCGACCGTGTCCGGGCCTGATCGAGAACGGCGGCGTCTACACGAGAAAGGGGCAAGACGTCAATAGCATCTTGTGGGGCGAATCTGGCAAGGATTAAGGAGGTGAAACTAGTTGTGATTGTCAATCAAACGTATCAATGGGACTATAAGTTGGCGTCGTCATCGAACGCGCCGCTCTCGGCGTCGCCGCGATCGACGAGACGAGTGAATCCAACCTCGCGCGCGCTCGTCCAGTGCGCTCGACCGGCGCCCATGTCCTGTTGTGCCGCGCCAGCAAGAGATTCCTCGATCACCATACCCTGAGTCTCCGGTAGCGTGAGCGTCACCGCGCATGCCGATGCCGCGGCGATGCTGAGAATGATGTACGGGAGCACCGGATGAATAATCTGGGAGTAAATAATCGCCGGGGCGCAGATGCCACCGACCCGCGCCGCGAGCGAACATGTACCCAAGCACGCCGAACGCACGATCGTAGGAAAGAGCTCGGTGGTGTAGAGGTAAATCATGTTGAACGAACCGGCGATCCCAAATCGTCCAAACATTGAAACGAACACCTGCATCGATCCCGTAAACAACGAACTCGCAAAGGTACCACTGCACGCCGTACCCATGAGGATGAGCTGCGTCTTTCTGCGCCCGAGCTTATCCGCACTGATTTGCGCGAACGCATGCGCGGGAAACTCAGTGATTGCGCCGATAAACGTATTCATGTAGATGGATCCGCTGAGTGAGCCAACGTTGAGAGATAATCCGTAATATACCATGCTCGTGATGCAGAAAATGTACGCCATGGCGTAGAGTCGGTGTCTCAGTGCAGGAAATGGCAGCACCGCAGTCACGTTCAAACCCTTCGCCGCTCGCGGTTGTTTGAGCGGTGGCAGACGACCCGTAAACTTCGGATTTCCTTTCGCTAATTGTGTCAGCACACCCATCGCCTTATCACTTCGTCCGGTGGCTAAGAACCATCTCGGAGACTCCAACAGAAATTTGACGCTCAGTCCAATATACACAAATCCGAAAACACCGCAAAACGCGGTGAAGCTCCTCCATCTCGGCATGCCGTACGCCACTCCAGACATGAGAGCTATTCCTCCCGACCAAAAATATTGCGTCGCGATCCCGAGCACGGCGCGCCATTTCAGACCTAGAAATTCTAAACACAATACGTAACTCGCGACTCCCAGACCTCCACAGCCAAATCCTCGCAAAACTGTGTGCAATAGGTACGTCCAATACCCGCCCGCCCACGATGCGAAGAGCGCACCGGCGCTCGCGAGCGCCGTGGAGACGTATAAGCCGAATAATCTCCCCTTACTATCCGCGATTTGACCGAGAATCCCCGCTCCAAAGAGGAAACCGAGAAAAAAGATTGAATCGGCAAGCTGCACCTTGTACTCGTGCGCACACACGAGGTCCCACTCAGAGACTATGGACGCCTTCGCGTCGACCCACGTCCACGCCTCGCGATCCAAGCTGCACAGATCTAACGACGCTCCCGTATCGGCGTGCACGCAGCCGTTCTCCGTGGCGCACTTCCAATCCGGCGAGCGCGCCGCGAACACGGGCGTGAGCGTGAGAAACGCCGCCGGGAACCAAGCCACCGCGGCGAGCGCGTACTGCGTCAGCTGCGCTCGATTCGCGTCCCCTATTCGCTCGGTGTACAGCTCATCGATCGTCCGCGCTCGTTCGTTCGCGCTCTCATCCTCTCGCTCGCCCATCTCCGGCGACGACGTCGTTCGCACGTGCGCGTCGCTTCGTTCAAACTCATCGCTCTCGACGCGGTCGTCTCGTTCGACGTGCGCGTCGCTCTGAGACGAGTGCGCGCTCGTCGCGAACGACCGCGTGAGATCGCTCGTGAACGCGTCGTCGTCCGCGACGTCGCGCATGCGCCCGTCCTCCACTGACGTCACGAAAGTGAACACGTGCACACGCACGCGGTGGCGTCGGTTGCCCACGGTTGCCGAGCACGGGTGCGCGATGACGAATCTTCACACGTCACCGCTCTTCAACGATGCTGCGTCGCGCCGCGTCCACGCTCGCTCGGCGAACGAAGGGGTCGATCACATCTCGGTCGTTCGTCACCGCCGAGCTCCCGGACCTCGAGTACGATTTCTCCGCGCTCGAGCCGGTGATTTCGGGAGAGATCATGGAACTGCATCACCAAAAGCATCACAAAGCGTACGTCACAAACTTTAACGTCGCGCAGGAGAAACTGGCGGAGGCGCAGGCGAAGGGTGACTTTTCAACGGCGATCGCGATGCAGCCCGCGATCAAGTTCAACGGAGGAGGACACGTGAACCACTCAATGTTCTGGAAGTGCCTGACGGCGCCCAAGGATTATGCCCTGCCAGAGGGCGCGCTATTGAAGATGATCGAGCGAGACTTCGGGTCGCTGTCGGCGATGCAAGATACGTTTACAGCCGCAACGGTGGCCGTGCAAGGTTCTGGATGGGGCTGGTTGGGCTACGACAAGGCGAACAAGCGACTCGCCGTGACGACGACGGCGAACCAAGACCCGTGCGTGACCACCGGTCTGACGCCGATCCTCGGCGTGGACGTCTGGGAACACGCGTACTACTTGCAATACAAGAACTTGCGACCGGACTACGTCAAAAACATCTGGAAAATCATCAACTGGAAGGTACGAATTGTAAAAGAAGTGCCGAAACAAAGGACTGACCAACGAGCCTTACCGACTCACGCAGAACGTCGCGGAGAACTTGAACAGCGCGATGTAAAACGCACGCACGCAAAATTTTCACTGAGCATTCATCGTCCTTTCGTTTAGTTTACGAAAATATTATTACCATGCGCGCGCGGCTATTGTGATACGCGGACTGGAAAAATATTGTGCTACGTTGCTACCGGACAGTGCATCTCAGTCCATCCCTTGCTCCTCCTCGTCCGTGGTGACATCCTCGGCGTCTTCTTCGTCAATTTCTTCGAGCTCAACATCTTCCTCGCCCTCGGCTTCCATCAAGATTTTGACGCACTCGTCCCGCGCGTTGTGCATTGCCTCGTCCAGCGCCGTGCGTCCCGCCTCGTTACAAATTTTCGGTGTCGCGCCCTTGTCCAACAGCAGCTGGACGATGCCGGGGTGTCCGTTCAGGCACGCCCAGTGCAGCGCCGTGCTCCCCTGCTCGTTCGTCTTGTTCACATCGGCGCCGTACTCGAGCAAGAGGTTGACAATTTCCTCGTGTCCGTTCGCCGCGGCGTAGAGGAGCCCGTCGTACGCGTCGGCGAGCGCGCCCTGGTCCAGATACGCCCGGGCCTCGTCGTACTCACCGTAACGCGCGGCATCGGCCAAGGCTTCGCTCAGCTGCTCCTCCGAGGACATCGCGACGGTGATACGAGCGCGTCGACGGCGGCGACGCGTTGGAAACCTCGTCGTGTCCGCGTTTTTCTCAGTGAGACTCGAGACTCGAGACGTGGACGCACGACTCACGACTCACGCGAGTCCCCATCGTCGAAGTCGCGGGAGACGAGAGTCGTTACAGCTCGATCGCCCGGTCGTTCGACATGGCGCCGGCTCGCGTGACCCGCTCGAAATCGAGCGCTGCGGCGAAGAAATCATCCCCGAGCTTCGCCATCGGTTTCGCGTACCTGCTCGGTGCGTCGCGCGCGCTCGGCTCGCGCGGAACGAACGGCACGAAGGAGCGAGCGGAACCATCGTCTTGCGCTCGAGACCGCGCTCGGTCGACTGACCGGCGAACGCGCTCGAACGACGCGCAGCGACGCAACTCACGTCGAAATTGTTGCCATTTTTCATCAACACCCTCGTCGCGCGACGGCTCACGCCGGAGGAGTTTGGTGTTCCAACCGTGCACTTTTATCTCCTCTCCACAGTGATCCTCACCACGCGTGAAGGCTTTCGCCGAGCGCTGATGAGGGATTCAGTGGAGGAGAGCTCGCTGGGATACGCTTGGCTCGTTTTACCCGTCGGTGGGTTCCTCTCCATCGCCGTTCCGTTCGCGGTGGTGTGGTCACAAAACATATCGACTAGCACGCCATACGGGCAGGCGCTGTTGTACTATGGAGTCGCGGCTTTCATCGAACTGTGTGCTGAACCGCACTACATCCGGGCGATGCGAATGTCCGCGTTCAAGCTGCGACTTTCCGCTGAGACAACATCGACGGTGCTTCGAAGCTTCCTAACGTACGCACTGGTATCGTACAACCAAGACGTCGTGTTGGCTTTCGCGTACTCTCAGGTGAGAATTATTAAATTATTACCTCCCAGAGATTCCCGTCCAGCGCCCGGGCGACTGACGATGATTTCCCCGCACAGTTGGCGTACGCAATATCGATGGCGGTCATTTATCTCAACGCAGCTCCGAACGCGAGTGAACGCGAGACAGGGAAAGACGAAGCGACAGTTAAATTAATTGGTATTTTTTCACTCCAGGTGAGTACATTTTCGCGTCAACACCGTCCACACCTGATCGTCGTGCAACCTCAGGCGGTGTGGAAACTCATTCTAGCGGAAGGAGAAAAGGCTGCCTTGATCGCAGTAGCGGCAGCGGACGAAGTTGGGGTATACGGCCTCGTTGCTTCGCTTGGGTGAGTTGGATTTATTTCCAGCAATTAATTATTTTCTGAACAATTATTTCTAAATAGCGCGGCATTCGCGAGATTGGTGCTCCAACCTTTTGAGGAGGCGGCATTCGTTATTTTCACGCGTAATGTTTCTTCAAAGACGCGATCGGCGAAGGAAAAAGATGTGTTCAACGCCTTGTTGCGAGTGGCTATTATTTTCGGCAGTACGGCGGTGAGTGCCACTTCTGATGCGTCGATGGCGTCTTGAATCGATCGTGACTGACTGACTCGCGCCGTTCACAGGCACTCATGGGTCCGCATTTTTCATGGTTGGCTCTCAGGTATGTCCGCTGGACTCGAGTTGAAGAGCGTTTCCAAATAATTAATTCGTGCACTTAACAGAATTTTATATGGCGAACGATGGGCAAATCAGCATTTCGCGTCGGAAACACTTGGTTTCTACGCGATTCTACTCCTACCACTTGCTGTAAGTGATTCCTCATGTATCACGCACGCGCGTCCGTCGTGCGAACACGTGCGCGTGATGAACGATTATTTTGTCGTTCCCACGTTCGAATTTATTATTTATTTTCAATAAATTTACAACGCATCACAGGTGAACGGCATCACGGAGGCTTACGCTCATGCGGTGATGGTACGTCTTTTCGAATGTTTTGCAGGACATTTACACCTCATGCGCACTGTAGTCCTCCTCGGAGTTGAGTTCGTCCAACATTTGGTTACTAGTGTGTTCTCTCGTTAATGTGGTACGCTTCGAGTGCATAAGTCGCTGTTGAGCCCATTTCATGACTCCTTTTCCGTCGTAGGGCGGTACGTTACTCCTTCAAAAGTCACTCGGGCCAGTTTCCCTGCTTGTGGCGAACGCCGTGAGCATGGTGGTTCGAATCGCCTTCACTGGGTCGTACATACGAAGACGCTTCGTTCGCCTGAAGGTCAATACTGACCTGAAGTTCCTCTCAAAAACATACCTCTTGGTGCGTGTTCACGGTTCTTTGGGAACGTTAATTGATTAATTTACACGCAGGTGCTCGTCGTTTTCTCCATCGTCGCCCATGCATCTGCCCGGGTGCTCCGTCGCAATCCGACATCGCTCGCACTGCTGGCGCACACTGGTTGCGGAGCGGCAATCCTGGCCGTTCTCCTCGTCACGCTGTACTTCAACGAGCGGGATGCACTTTTACACCTATCACGAAATGATAAAGGCGATTAGCGCCGTCTTTGCCTGATGTTATAGCGACTTGATAGATTTCATGTTCTTGTGCTGATGACGATGAGAGTGCTAGCTATGCCCAGCGAGCTGGGCTTGCCCTAGATCACTTTCAGAAACAACACGAACGCGTGAGACTGCGACGTGTCGTGGTCAGCTCGACTCGCAAGTCACGAAGTCGATCGAAAGCTATTGAGAGTGCGTGCGAACGTTCATTTCAGCGCACGCCCGACCGTCGCGCGTGCGTTTATCGAAAGAATAGTAGCGAAGATGAACGCCGCTCGTCGCGCTTTGAGCGCGTCTCTTCGAGGCGCGCAACGGACGTCAATGAGATCATTCGGCGCGGGTCCACCGGGAGGATACTTTGCCGAAGGCGTGCAGACTGGCCGCAACGGATATCTCTTCGGTGAGACGCCTCCAGCCCCGGGACAGCGCAGAATTTGGGAAGACTGGGAAGCACCGTGGTACACCGCGATGGCGCTCGCGACTGGTATCCTTACCTTTGGCCTGGCAGCGAAGCCGGATACCAGAATGACGTCATGGGCGAAGGAAGAGGCGGCCCGGCGCATCGCAGCTGAGAAGTAGTGTCGCCAGCACGGGTTTCTAGAAAGATAGTGATATGTTCAGAACTCTTGAACTCGAAATGTAAAAATATTAGAGTCTTTTCAGAACGGCTGTCGAGCGTCCAAGTCAACTGATCGTTACTATGCTCATCAGAGTTAAGTGCTACAATTAATTCTACACTATCGTCGATATCTCGGTCGTTTGAAGTTGAAGTAGAGGTGGAAGATTCCTCGCTCGAAAGTGCAGCGGAAACCGCGTTTGTGGCTGTGTTCCCACTCTTTGTTGACGATCCTAAACGCGATATCTTCGTACGGTGGACCGGCTGATATTTTCAATAAGCATGTGTCGGCGTTCGCCGAGCCATCTGGTTCGATCTTGTATGTGGGAGCCTTCGATGTGTCGATGAGGTCCGGGTAGAAGACGTTAAACTTGTACCCCTGAACTGTCTTTGGTGGAGGGTTCGACGAGTCATAGTGGGTCTGATTGTATTTGTTCCACGTATAACCAGTATGCACGCGGTTAAAATACTTTGGCTTGCGTGGACGATACTTGTCGTGCCACCAATAAGCCTGGGACTCCAATTCAGCTTCGTCGCCAAAGTTCTCGTCGCCATCCTCAGTAGCGCCCATCATGCGCTCAGCGAAGTCTTTTGCCTTGCGATCGACCTGTTTCTCAATGTCCTTGAAGTCTGTTGTACCTGTGATGAGATTTCCGAGAACACCAGTGTTGTGATGAGCCCCTCCGGCTTGTTTGAATGCGTTGTAAACATCGTCCTCCGTCTTTCCTCTAAGCACGCGGTTCTCTGACGTAACCTTCTTGAAGCGGGACATGTTTCGGATCCGCTCCTGTTCCCGAAGACGGGTGAGATTAGCCTCTTCTTGAGATATATCGATGATTTCGATGCCTTCCTCAACCTCTGTAAGACGCATCGGGGACAGCGACGGGGCGTATTCGGGCTTGACTTTCGCCTCAGCGCCATCGTCGTTCCATTCTGAATCATCACCACCATGGCCGTCCTCATCCTCCACATGTTTCCCAAAGTCCGCCCCAAGAAGATCGTCGTCGCCACCCTCATCTTCCGCGAGCCTCTGTTCGTTACGTGCTCTCGCGCGGCCGCCGTCTTCGATCTCCTCTCCCTCAAATTTCACCTTGAGCGACTTGTGCATCTCTTCAACGATCGCCTTCGTTTTCGCCATAGACACTCGCTTTAAGACTGCTCCCCAGTACTCAACCTCGCTCGCGTCTGGACCTTGTATCTGCTCGGATATCTCGCCCTCGAGCTCGGCTAATTCCGCCGCAGATTTGCCGCTCACAATTTCAACCACATCGTCATCGATATCCGCGTGCAAGCTGCTCGCTTCCACACGCTCCGACGCTTCCCCGCGCACTCGCGCTCGCTCGATCTCTTCCTTTTGCTGCTCTTCTGTCATCTCCGTCTCCGTCAGCGCTATCAATGCCGTCCAAAATTCTCGCCGTTTCCCGTCTCGTGTATCGAGGTCGCGCAACTCTTGCAGCTCCTTCTTGGTCTCCTCTAGCTCTCTCAGACTCAACCCGCTGAGCACCGTGAGCGGATTCACGAACACATCGAATTCAATGTACGTTTCCGCAAACACATTGCGCGCGATGAGATCTATCGCCTTCGCTCGTCCCTCCCGTATGCGAATGTCCGCGCGCAGTTTTGCCTGTCTCAGGTGAAACGCGTTCTCCTTCTCGTCCAGTTCTCTGTCCTCTGCGCTCGCTCGCTCGCGTTTGCGCTCGTCCATCTTCGCCAACACGCTCGGTTGTCGCTTGGACCAGTCCGCGTCGGCCCCACCAGCGCTCGATCGTCGCCAAGACTCGGCATCGTTCGCGGCGCCCCCTCCGGTCCCGAACCTCTGTGGTTGAGACGCAGTCATGACGCCCACGACGCGACGACGTCGACGTCGACGTCGACGACGACGATCGAGCGCGAAGCACGACGCGCGGTCGTCGCGCGCGGGAATCACCGACGCGCTCGCGGCGCCGACGCGCGCGTCGCGGTCGTCACGCGTCCTGCTCCCCCGCGGGGGCGCGCGCTCGTATCGAGTCACGTGTGGGCGAACAGTGTCTCTGGTCGAAACGAAGACGTGCCGGACGCAACACCATCGTTCGGGCTCGACCGCACCCGTCGTCGCGCGCGCACGGGGTCTCGACCGGGAGAGCGATCGCGACGACGTGAAACGCTGCGTTCGAACGAATCACGCGAACGAATCGATCGATCGCGCGTCATCGCGAGCGGGCGAAGGGTGAGAAGACGTACGATGCGTGCGTGCTCGTGCCTCGGGATCCTACTCTTGACGGTCGTTTTCGCGTCGCACGGCGCGAATGCGGCTTCGTTGTGCGCGGTGCGACAGGAGGCGAAAGTCTTGAAGGTGGAGCTAGATTATCAGGACGAGTTGACGGTGTTTCCGGGCGCGTTGGCGCTCTTCGGAGGGGACGTTGAGGGCAACGTAACGCGAGGGCCGTGGACGCTCGGGGTGCCGAAAGACAACGAGGATGCGTACGGATGCTCGGCGATCAGTGGATTCACGGATAATGTTCTCATTGTCAAGCGAGGAAAGTGTGAGTTTTACGACAAGGCCAAGGTGGCGCAGGACGCAGGGGCAAAGGCTGTGTTTATCGTGAGCGACGGCGAGGATTTCACAACAATGACGTGCAATAACAACAATCCACTCGACGTCGTCTCAGTCATGTTGGCCGCGTCGGCTGAGAAGACACTTATGGAGGCGGTGAACGTTCCGGGAGTGACGGCCAAAATCGCGTTGGCTCCGAACGTGCCTTATAAAATGGACTTTGTGGCTTCAGGGGCGCTCGTCTTCTTCGCTCTCGCAACCATCATCCTCGGTGGACGTTGGTCTTTGAAGGATACGAAGAGCAACTTAAGTTCGAAGCGTGACGAGGAGTCGGACGGGTTGAATGATGGAGGACGCAATGAACGGCAGGAGGGTATCGAGATCAACGAGTACACGGCGTTTTGGTTTGTCCTCATGGCATCCGTTGTGTTGCTCATTCTCTTCTATTCGATGCAACACTGGATATTCGTCCTTATGCGCGGTGTTTTCGCGTTCGCCTCTTTTCAGGGCCTGCAGATCATTTTCTTGGAGGGCCTGATTTCGCAGAGAAAGCCGACATCTCACGACTCAAAACTCGTGTTGCCGTTGATCGGCACCGTCCACAAGATGTCCATACCCGCCGGTGTCATGGCAGGTATCGTCGTAGCGACGTGGCTCATCTTCCGACAAGCAAGCTGGGCATGGTTATTGCAAGACATCATGGGACTGGCGTTCTTGACCAACGTGTTGCGGCTCGTTCACCTGCCAAGTTTGAAGGTGGCGACCATACTTCTTAGTTGTGCCATGGCGTATGACATCTTCTGGGTGTACGTGCAGCCGCATCTGTTTGGCAAGAAGAGCGTCATGGTCACGGTCGCTCGTGGGGGTGAGAAGGGCGAGAGCTTGCCCATGCTGTTTTTATTCCCTCGCATCAGTGGTAGCGCGGGCGATTATTCCATGCTGGGCTACGGCGATGTCATCCTCCCGGGCTTGCTCATCGTGCACAACCTATTGTTTGACAACAGAAAGCGCGAATCAGAGGTCAAGTATTTTTACTTCTTCTGGTCCATCGTCGCTTACGTAGTGGGAATGTGTCTGACGTTCACGGCGCTGTATTTCGAGGTCGGAGGTCAAGGGGGGCAGCCTGCCCTGACGTACTTGGTTCCCACAGTTGTGGGAACGACGTCTTACTTGGCTTGGCGACACAACGATCTGGGCGAGATGTGGCGCGGCTTCGATGACGAATACGTCCCTCTTCCCTCAGAATCATCATCCGTGTTGTAATCCAGACATCTAGCGTGCATAGTACACTCGAAACGCCCCGACGGTGTTGTGTTCACCTCAAGTTGCATCTCGCACGTGACTCGTTACCTCATTTCGCGCCGCGAGCTTGCTATGCGTCCATGAACAAGAATAAAGCGCGTCAGAGCTTAATCGCACCCTCGGGTCGACCGTCGAGCGACACTCCAATCGCTCGTCGCGTCGCGTTCCTTCGCGAGGCGTCTCGAGCGTACGTGAAGGACATTCCAGAATTGTCGGCGGCTTTGAACATGTCCGCGACGACCCTAGCGAGAGAGAGCGAGCTGTCACGGGCACAGATAGACGCGTACGGGTCGTGCCCGGCGTGTGGGCTCCCCAAAGATCCTGAGGGAGCGCGGTGTGCGCTGTGCGGGCTGCTGTTGCGAAAGAAGCGTAGGAGACGTCCTAAGCAGAAAGCGTGAACGCACTTTAGATGTGTAGCAACCGTAGCAACGAATAGCACATTTGATAACAATTCGAGCACTCAAGCCTTCGCCCAGGCTTTTTTCAAAAATAAATTCATACAGTGCGCTCAGTCGAAAGACGTGGTCTTCAGAACCACCGCGCCATTACTCGGAAGAGTGGCGAAGAGAACAGCGCTCATATCGTCTTCGGTGATCACTCCGTTGGCGATGCGAGAGGCGTAGTACGTCTTCCCCACTTGACTGAGGACGTCTTGCACCTTATCCATGGACACGAGTGCCACGGCGCAGCCACCCCACCCGGCACCAGTGAGCCGAGCGCCAAGCGCACCAGCCGCTCTGAAAGCATCAACGAGCTCGTCCAACTCCGGGCAAGAGCACTCGTACAAGGCGCGGCAAGATTCGTGACTGCCATTCATGTACACCCCCAGCTCCGCCGGATCAACCTTCATCGCGCAAGCTGCGGCGAAGAGGTGAACTCGACCCGCTTCTGAGTACACGTGCAAGGTGCGCGAGAGAAGCTTGTAGCCCGTCACATTGTGATTCAGGACTGCCTTGGAAGCCGGAGAAGAGAAGACGTCCAAGAACGCGTCGACCCCAATGATTTCTTCGATCTCTCTCGCATCATAATATCCATCGTGAAGGTACTCTTCAGCCGCAGCTTTCGCCGAAGACATGTTCCCCACGCGCTTCTCGATGTCCTGAAGCGTCTGTGTCTCGACGACTTCCTCGTCGCTCATGCCTAACTTTCTTCCTAAAACCATCGCCGCCAAACGACACTCGACGACCCGAAGATTATAACGCTCGTGCGCGGTCTCGGCCTTATTACTGACCGCGAGACAGTTACCGATGACGAAGGCGCAATTTTCCGGGAGGTACACGTCGTTGGTTTGGATTGGATTGAAGTCGACCAACTTCGCAACGCCTGCTTCGCCCATTATGGAGATGGCCTGATCCATCCCACCCGATTGCGTTCCCGAATACCTCTCGCACTTACACGTGAAATCAGCGATCTCACCCTTGGTGAAGCTCAGTCCGTGCGCGGACATGACCGCCAACGCTGACGCGCAGCATAATGCCGACGACGAACTCAAACCGCTTCCCGTCGGAACTGTGCCGTCAATCATCAGGTCCAAACCGACCGGTTCCACCGATTTGCCCCCGGACTCTTCCAAAAAGTCAAACACCCCCTTGTACCCGCACATCACGTAATTCGTCCAGTGAAGAGACGAGGTGTCGACGTCTTGGCCGGGCGACGTCTCGAACGTCTTCTCGGTGTACTCAGGATTCGCGTTCCCGACTCGAATCTTCCCAGACGTCTCGTTCACGCCGTACGCGACGACGGCGTCGAGTCCGATCGCCATTGGAAGCACGGAGTACCCCTCGTAATCGATGTGCTCGCCGATGAGGTTCACGCGCCCCGGTGCGCGCGCGAATCCACTCGGCGCTCGACCGTACGCGCGCTCGAACGCGTCCGCCAAGGCGCGGTACCTCTCGCGCGTCTCCTCGGTGGGCGACCCGTAGACGTCATCGAGCGAGGAAACGACGGGGACGTGGACGTCCGGAGCGCCCGCGGTGGCGACCATCTCCCTCGAGCGCGAAGTCGCGAACGGCGGCGTGTGCCGATGGGAAAACGCGTGAGCGCCATCCGTCACCCACGCGGTCGGTCCCACACGACGTGTCTCCAAAGATCGTCGCGTGGCGCTCTTCACACTATGCAAACAAAATACATAAACGCAGGGTTTGGTCCACACCCCCGGTCCATCCCCTCGACGCGATGGTTGAATTTTCATTCCCGCCGTCGATCGCGCGCGCGCTTTTTCCTCGCGTCGATCGCGGGTGGTAAAATATCAGTGAGACCAATTCCACGAGTCATGAATCGAGAAATACGGCACGCGCGGAGGCAAAAAAACCCGAACGTCCGTCGTCGCTTCTCCGTCGCTCGTTTCCCCCGCGTCGGGCGCGCGCGCGAAGGCACCCGCGCCGCACACGTCGTCGCGCGCACACGGGCGAACGCACGCGAAGGCGGCGCGAGAGAACCACCTCGCGCGCGGGCGCCACGCATCGCCCGCGCACGACCTCGCGCGGGTCGTCGAGGAGCGAGCGAACGAACCATCCGACCGGTCGACGACGTCGAGCTCTATTTCAGAGATCTCGCGGGCGTCGAAACGTCGCGAGTGTACACGCGCGCGCGAGCGGTGGTGAGCTCGTCGCGAGCGAACACGCGTGGGAAAGGCTCGGTTGAGGAATCTATTGAGGGTTTTGACGAGGCGATCGGTCGAGTAAACGCGCCGAGGGAGTGCACGTGCTCAGATAATCGTTACGTCTTGTTGTGCTCGAGAATCTCTCGGACGAAGCACTGCGAGCGGCTTGAACGAAATCGAATCCGTCAGAAGCGTCGAAGTGCGAGAAGGAGTACCAGTGGACGACGTCATCATGTCCAACGACACGACGAGCGTCCTCACCATGCTCGATGGTCCGCTCAGAACGGCGACTGTGGGCGAACTCACGAAGCTCGGCATCTCCATTGAGGGCCTGAGGGATGACATGGATCCGAAAGAGCGCGAGAAGCTCGTGCGAATGTACCGTCGTAAGATCGCCAACCGCGAATCTGCGAAGCGTTCGAAGATTAGAAAGAAGGCTGAGGATGCGAAGCTCCTTTCAGCGGCGGAGACGCTTCTCCAGGACGCAGCAACAATGCGAAAAACCATCACAACCTTGCAGAAGAAGGTGGACACTTTGTATGCGGAGAACGTCAAACTTAGGCAACGACTCGGCGATCAAGTTGGTGAGCACGAGGAGAAACCGCCATCGGTGATCGAGCCCGTTGAATTACCGCCAGAGGTCGAGACGCCGAGCCTCGTTATGAAGGAGGCACGCAAGAAGAAGCGCGGCATGTTGAAGTCGCAGTCAGACTCCTCCATCGCCACCACTTTCGAAGAAGCAGACGATCCAGAGCCAGCCATGAAACGCGTCGCCGTCCATGAGACGACGAATATCCGTCAACATGCGCGAGATGGAGCACATGCAAACAGTGGCGCGAAACCACCGCGACACGCAAACGGCGATCGTCTGCTTGACGACATTCAGTTTGGGATGGATGGTTTCTATGGTGACTTTGGGAACGACATCAGGTCGGCTTCTCCGTTTCTGACTAATAACTATGCCATGTACACCTTCAACGAGGGCGAAATTCTAGGATCAGACTTGGGGGCATGGGATGTTTAAAGAAGTCGTGGCACAAGATCACTTACATACTGTATATGACGGATTCACCTCGCACACAGTGTCGTCGTCGCCGGATCTTGGTCTGCGATGAGCACGAACGCCGATTGATTGATACTTCTGCGTAGATCGCAATTTTCCACCTGTAACAATAACAGCAAACGCTCGCCAGAATTTGTGAGAGCAACGCGACGACTCGGCGTATCTACGAAAGCGCAGCAACTGCTTGCGATTCAATCACATTTTATTTATGTTCTAAACGCGTCATATCGGTGAAACAAAGAGACTAAAGTGCAGCTGAGGTGGTTTACTTGTTCAAGCGGGAGCCAAGAACATCCATAACAGCTCCGAAATCGTCCTTGACCATCACCGGCGGGTTCGCATATCTGCTCTCGATACCTTCGAGCTTCTTCTCGTGGTACGCAACCTTGCTATGCGTAAACTTAAGGCCGTGTGCGGTGCTGATGACCACGACACGATCGCTCGGAGCAATAGTTTGCGACGCGCGGAGCTTCTTGAGCGCCGCGAGCGCGACACCAGTGTGCGGGCAGTTGAACATACCGGTCAAGTCTGCTTCCGCTGCGGCGTCCATCATTTCTTCTTCTGTGGCCTCCTCAACGATGCCATTGGTTTCCGTGAGGGCGAAGATCGCGCGGTCGATAGAAACTGGATCACCAATTTGAATGGCGGACGCGAAGGTCGGTTCAGCCTTCACCGCTTCGAACTTATCCCAACCCTTCTTGTAGGCGCGGTACAACGGGTTAGCGTTCGCCGCTTGCGCCACAACCATGCGCGGAAGGCGATCGACAAGCCCAAGCTCCTTGCACATGGAGAAGCCCTTGTAGAACGCGTAGACGTTACCGAGGTTTCCACCTGGGATGATAACGTAATCGGGAACTTGCCAGTCGAATTGTTGGCAGATTTCGATAGCGGCGGTCTTTTGACCTTCGAGGCGAAGCGAGTTCAGTGAGTTTGCCAAGTAGATGGGAAGCTCCGCGGTGACTTCGCGGATGAGGCGCATGCAACCATCGAAATCGGTGTCGATAGAAAGTACGAGAGCGCCGTTGGCGATCGGTTGTACAAGCTGAGCAACAGAGATTTTGTTCGCTGGAAGGAAGACAATCGATGGGATACCTGCAGCGGCGGCATAGGCGCTTAATGCGGCCGAGGTATCACCCGTGGACGCGCAACCGACGGCAGAGAGAGGCTTGCCCATCTTTCGCATGCGGTTTACTTGAGAGACCAACGCGGTCATGCCAAGATCCTTGAAGGAACCTGTGTGGGAGTTACCGCACTGCTTCACCCAGAGGTCGGTCATTCCCAGGTTCTCTCTCCCGTAGCGTTCGGCCCAGAACAAGTTGGAGTTTCCCTCGAACATGGACACGATGTCTTCGTCGGCAATACCCGGAAGAACCCACTCCTTCTTACTCCACACCCCAGATCCATACGGCCACGTCGTCTTCCCAACGCGCTCGTCGAACAGTGCCTTCCAGTACTCCGGAGGGTAAATCTTGAGCGCATCCATGTCGTGCGTCACGTCGAGCAGACCGCCAGATTTGCTTCTGTAAATGATCTCATCCAAAGAGTACTCTTCGTTCTTGTCACCCGCGAACGGGGTGAATCGCGCGTTGAACAGGTTGGCCTTTTCCAAAGGCTTGTTCGTGCGCGCGGCTGCCTTGCCCAGGTCGGCGTCCGCGCTCGCGCGCACCCCGAAGGCGACGCCTCGTCGCGCGCGCGCCTCCGTGGCGCGCGTTCGCGTCGTCACCTTGGTCTGCGCGCACGCTTGTCTTTGCGTGAGCATGACGCTCGTCGTCACGCTCGACATATCTATCGGCTCACTTAAATTCGTAGGGTCGCTCGCTCACGCGGCGGACCGAGTTGAAACCGCTTCGCACGGCGCGTACGCGTTCGTCGAAGATCGCGGAGATCGACGATGGACGATCGACGACCGAGACTCTGCGTGCGTCGGGCGAGCCGAGCGCACGGGCGCGAAATGCGGCGCGCGGACCAGCGATCGATCACGACGACCGCCGCGCACCCCTCACGCGCCGGCGCCGATGACACGGCGCCGCGCGCCCGCCACGTCCCGAGGGATGTCGACGAGTGCTGAGTCGTCGATGAGTCCGAGTGCGTGCTCGACAGGGACGATCGAAAGGGACGATCGAAAGGGACGATCGAAAGGGACGATCGAAAGGGACGATCGAAAGGGACGATCGAAAAGGACGATCGATCGACACCCGTCGCGGCGGTCGATCGAACGGGCGAGGATGAATTTTTCGCGCGAGCCAGGGTTGGGCGCGCGCGTCCCGATCGATGCGCGCGCACGCCGAGTCAGCGTCGACGTCACCGAGGGACGCGCGCGCGATGTTAACGGCACGAACGACGGCGCGAACGTCGACGGCGACGCGGACGCGGACGCGGACGAATCCATCTCTCACGACGATCGCTCGTCCGAGCGTTGAGACCGCGCGCGCGCGCTTCACCGTCGTCGCGAATGCGGAGGACAAGCAGCCGAAGATTACGAGGGAGAACGAAAAGGAGGCGTGGTTGTCCGAGATGGAGCGCGAGGGTGCGAATCCGATGAAGGATCCGATGGCGATGATCGGGATCGGCGGTCTCATGGTGCCGTTCGTCATCCTGGCCATCGCCAGCGCGGCTGGATTCATTGGTCAGTAGAGAAGTACCGTAGGTCAAAGGGCGGGTGTAATACGAATGTTTGAGGTTGCTACGCGCTCGGTGGACCGATGAAAAAACTCTTTGGTTTCACTTAAACATTTACATTCTATCGCGAGCGCGGTGTACATATTAGGAAAATTCACGCGAGCGGGCGCGTGCTATCGATCTCGGGCTCGAGGTCGGTGATAGATGCGAGCCAGGCCGAGAACTCGACGGAGCTTCGTCGCCTATTCATTCGGTGTTGGTTCGGAGACGCGAGCTCCACCGTCTCGCGTTCTTTACGCTCCAAGTCAGTCATTTTGTCCATCGAAATCATCGCGATCGAGGCTTCGTCGCCCACGATATCGAAGAGCTCATTGGTGAGCCCGTCCAAATCAACCGACGACTCGAATTCGGCGCAATCCAGGCGCGGGACATCCTCGTACGAGTCGCCTTCCAATTCCATCCAACGGTCAAAGGCCTGCTCGAGTTCGACTCGGATGTTCTCTTCCCAGTCATCGAACGTTTCCTTTTCTCTGAGCGTCGATATCTTCGTCGATGCGCGCGCGATGTCTCGCGCAAACGTCTCGCGCGCCGTCGCCTCTCGCTCGCCCTCTTCCGGGGAGATATCTCCATCGATGAGCTCCGTCCGGATAAATTTCGCGCACGCCGCATTGACGCCTCGCAACGGCGAGCTCTTCTCCGGTTTCTTCGTTCGTCTCGACATCCCAATCGCCCGTCGAGCACTCCGGTTGTTCACACTCGACGTTACTGCACCGTCCGTAACGCTCGTCCGGTCGATCCGAATTTTTTGTATAGATCGAGTCGTACCACCGTGTATACGAACAACTCGGCGATCATAAAAACGGGCGCCGCAACGCTACCAAATAACAAAGATCCCCGTCGCCCGCGCGTCGCGCCGAGCGACTCGAGACTCGAGGCGTCGAGCACGGCGTGGACGAGGAGAGGACCTCGGGCTCGGCGATCGCGTTCGAGGCGCCATCGTCACACATCGACCGCGCTCGAGCATCGATCGATCGCTAAAAGCGTCGCGAGCGTCCATCGACATGTCGAACGAAGACGCCCCGAGGGGTGGGGACGACACGCCAAAGACGACGCTCTCCGCGGGCGCGTCGGCGTTCAACTTTAACCCATCCGCCGCCTCTTTCGAGTTCAAGCCGAGAACGGTGGCGCCGGTGAGCGAAGGCGCGCCGCCGCCGCCCCCGGGCGCGCCACCGGCCAAGGCGGTGTCGCTGTCGATCGGTGGACCGGCGAAGGAGGTGACGATCGGGTCTTTACCGGCCAAGGCGAAGGAGATCTCCATCGGCGGCCCGGCGAAGGCGGTGTCGCTTTCGATCGGCGGCCCGGCCAAGGCTGTGTCGATCGGGATTCCGTCCAAGGCGAAGGAACCAGAAGTACCGAGCGTGGAAGCGTCTTCACCAGCGGCGGAGACCACGGCGGCGACGGAGGCCAATGAGGTTGAGAAGGTCGCGCAGAAGGTTGAGAAAGTTGTCATCGAGGATGACCCTGTGGACGACGTCGAGGACGAAACCTTCGACAAGCGCGAACACTTAAACCTGGTTTTCATCGGACACGTCGACGCGGGTAAATCCACGATCGGTGGACAGATCTTGTTCTTGTCTGGGATGGTTGACGATCGCGTGATTCAAAAGTACGAGCGAGAGGCGAAGGATAAGAACCGCGACTCGTGGTACATGGCGTACATCATGGACACCAGCGAAGAAGAACGGGCCAAGGGTAAGACGGTCGAGGTCGGTCGCGCGCACTTCGAAACGGAAAAAAAGCGTTATACCGTGTTGGATGCGCCGGGTCACAAGAACTACGTTCCAGAAATGGTTGCCGGCACTGCGCAGGCGGATGTGGGAGTGCTCGTTATTTCTGCGCGTAAGGGTGAGTTTGAAACCGGTTTCGAAAAGGGAGGTCAGACACGAGAACACGCACAGCTCGCAAAGACGTTAGGTGTCAGTAAATTAGTCGTCGTGGTGAACAAAATGGATGATTCGAGCGTCCAGTGGGAGAAGGAACGTTTCGATGAGATAAAGACAAAGGTGACGCCGTTCTTGAAGCAGTGCGGTTACAAGGTCGACACGGACGTGACATACGTGCCAATCTCTGGATTGACTGGTAAGAACATGAAAGAAAAGGTCCCCTCGGATATCTGCTCGTGGTACTCTGGGAAGTCATTCTTTGATACCTTGGACGACTTGGATCCGCTTCCAAGAGATCCAAACGCTCCCGTTCGCCTTCCCATCATGGATAAATACAACGAAGCGGGGTGTATGGTGATGGGTAAGATTGAATCCGGTACCTTGCGTCAAGGTCAAACCCTGATGCTCATGCCGAACAAGGCTGCGGTGAAGATTGCCACCATGTGGCGCGACGAAGTTGAGTGCACGAAGTGTTTGCCTGGCGAAAATGTACGCTTGAAGCTGACCGGGGTGAACGATACCGACGTTCAGCCCGGTTTCGTATTGTGCGGGGTCAAGGATCCGGTGTACATCTGCGACGAGATTGAGTGCCAGCTCGCGCTTCTGGAGTTGCTCGAGCACAACTCGATCTTCACAAAGGGTTACAAGGCCGTGATTCACATTCATGCCGCCACCGAGGAGGTTGAAGTGACTAAACTGATCTCTGAAATGGACATGAAAACGCGCAAGCCGAAGGAAGGGAAACCCAAATTTATGAAAAGCGGCTCGTTGGGTAACTGTCGCCTCAAATTTGCCCAACCCCTGTGCTGTGAGAAGTTCGCAGACTACGCACAACTTGGTCGCTTCACCTTGCGCGACGAAGGGAAAACCATTGCCATCGGCAAGGTCACTCGCCTCAAGCCCACGGGCTCCTCCGACTAATATCCCTCACCCGCTGTTCCATAGAATATGCAACACAACATGAATTCAAACGTCACGAACTTTCGTTGCGGCTCACTCTTTTGAGAATCGATTTGGTCACTCTCTCGCGCCAGTGCGTGCTGCTCCTCCATGCCCCTGGGAGCGTTCGCTCGTCGCGCCTCCACGGCTTTAGCCTCCGCTCGCCCGTCCACATCTCGCGCTTTCACCGCCCTAAGCGCGGGGAACGGTGACTTCGGGAGGCTCGGTCACGGCCAAGTCTTAACGGATGATGACGTTTCCTTTCGCTCGTCCAACTACTTTCATCCAGTTAGAGGGTTAGAGGACGTCGACGTGACGCAGTGCGCGGCCGGAGGGGCGCATTCGATCTTCCTGGCCCACGGTGGTTTCGTCTTCGCGTGCGGGCTGAACAATTACGGACAGCTGGGACACGGCAAGCACAGCGCGCACGTACCAGAGGCAGCGCTCGTGGATTTGGATGTGGAAGTGGTTCGCGTTGCAGCCGGGAATAATCACACGCTGTGCGTCGATGTCGACGGTGGGGTTTGGGCGTTCGGTAAAAACGAGGGAGGTCAGTTAGGGACGGGGCTGGACCTCGATGGATTCCAGCCGAGAAGAATAGAGACACTTGGTTTGGAGGGAAAAATAGTGGACGTCGCGTGCGGCGCTGAACACTCCTTGGCTCTGTCCGAGGACGGCCGAGTATACTCATGGGGCACGAGCGCGGACGGTGTGCTCGGGCACGGTTCGGAGACTTGGAACGAGGGATGGTTTTATCGCACCGCGAAGACAGTGGCGAAGCCTAGATTATTACGCGCGCTTTCAGAGACAAAGGTGCGCTCAATCGCCGCCGGACACATGCACTCGGCGTGTGTAGACGAGCGTGGGGAGTTGTTTACGTGGGGACAGGGAAGATTCAATCAACTTGGTCAAACCTCGAAGTACGTCGATCACGAGACGGCTCCCAAGTCTGTAGATACCCTTCGATTTGTTCACCAAGTGACGTGCGGTGGTTTGCACACGCTCGCGAGCACGAGTGCCGGAGTCGTCTCTTGGGGCGCAAATCAACACGGCGAGCTCGGACACGGCTCAAATTCGGACGCGAAATCGGCCATTCCTAAACCGATCAAGCTCTCCTCTCGCGGATGGTCCAAGCTCTCCGCCGGATGGAAGCACTCCGCCGGCGTCTCCAACGACGGAAAACTCTTCGCCTGGGGGTTCGGCGGCTCCGTTGGTTCCCACTCCGACGAAAAACTGTCCAGCGGTGGCCAACTCGGACTCGGAAACGACTTCGATTACTGGGAACCTACCGAGGTATGGCTTCCCGGCGACGCCGTGGGCGTCTCGTGCGGGTTCAACCACACATTAGCCTTAGTTCGCCTCGGCGCGTAGTCTCCGATTGAAAGCAGTTGACTGTTGAGCTCTTTGCGTTGTTCGTCCGCCCCATCGCCCGTCGCGCGCGATGTCATCCCCCGTCATGCTCCTTGCCTCGGTTGGTAGAGACGCCAAAACCTCTGACGCGTCTTCCTCCGTTCGCGTGTACGTCCCCGAGAGCGCACGCGCGAGCTTAGCGTCGTCGAGCACGTCGACAGATGATTCCGGTGAACCGCTCTGCGCGCGTTGGTCCCCGACGAACGGCGCGTTGTGCGTCGGAACGAAGGGTAGGGGATCGGCGCTGATGAAACCAGATCTTAAGCCGCTCGGGTGCGTGCCGGAGGATGCGAACGATATCGGAGAGGTGCGGGCGATCGATTTCAGCGCCGGGTCGAGGTACTTGGCGGTCGGAGGCACGAGCGCGGGCGAGGAGGTGTCGGTGTGGGATCTGAAGCGTAAGCGCAAACACAGAGTTTTCGCGGGGCACGAGAGAAGCGCGACGACGGTGAAGTATGGGATGTTCGGACGTGTCGTCGGGAGCGGTGGGGGGACGGGACAGGTGCTCGTGCACGACGTAGAGAGCGGGGCGATGAAGTTGAAACTGGCGGCGCCGACGACAAGCGGCGTGACCTCGATCGACTTCTCGAAGTTCTCGCCGCAGCATCTGGTGTCTGCGTGTACGGATGGCACAGTGAGGCTGTGGGACACCGAAGTCGGAGAGTTGCAGTCGACGCTCACAGTGAGAGGGTCAGAGTGCTATCAAGTTGAATTTTCACCCACGGCGCCGGGATTGGTTGCATACTGCAAGAGCGATGGACGAGTCGTTCTGCAGGATACGACGTCGCCAACACCCTCAGGAGCTTTAACGTTTAGATCCACTCAAGCTACGTGCTTAGCTTGGCATCACTCGGGATTTGCGCTAGCCGTGGGAACCTCGGATGGCCGAGTGTCTTGGCTGGATACTCGAAAAATCAGCGGTGGCGCGGACGTCGCCACATGCACGTTATACGACGTTCGGGCCCACGAAGGAGGCGTGCACTCGTTATCGTGGCAACAACCCGTCCCGCACGCGTTTCAAGTCGAGACCACGCCCGCGCGCGGTGGCGTTGCGCCAGATTCCCCCATGACTCCTGTGGGTGAAAAATCGGCGCGTCTGCTTCAGCAAGAGCACACGCCTCCAGTCGCGGCGTTAGCGCGAGACGAGCTAAAACTGATCACGGCGAAATCGTCTAAAGAGGCTTCATCGCGCGTGGACTCTGGAGATATCGCTGCTCTGCTCGATGCCGCCGTTGAGAAGCTCGGCGGAGATCTCTCTGCCCGCATCAGAGACGTCCACGTCGAATTGTTACGCCAACATCAGCTTCAGCAAGAGGAGGCCACGCGCATGTTTGACGACATGCAACAGACTCAACTCGAAATGGCCGCCGAAATAGCTTCCCTCAGGGCCCAGCTTGAGCGTAGAATGTAAAATAGCTTCACATCGATCCCGCGTCCCGTCTGCAGTGCGCGACGCGTCTCGTCGTTCCTCGCGCGCTCGCGATGCCCCGCGAGTCCCTTCGCGTGCACTACCCCTCATCGTACGACGAAGAGATGGAGCAGCTCAGACTCGCGCTCGAGATCTCCGCCCGCACGTCACCGCAATCACGAGCGCGTGAGACTCGCGACGAAGACGTAACGACTTCGACAGGCCGCGGGTCCGGAAACACTCGTTTGAACGATAAGCCTGGTCGAGCGACGCGCGCTTCGGGGAAGCCATCCGTGAGGTCATCAACGATTGATTCCGACGACGCCGCACCGAGCTCGGACGACCGAGTGACGATGGCAAAGAGACTCGTGAGGCGTTTCGGTGTGCACGAGCGGGACGCTCGGAGAGTGGTGGATGTCATGGACGGGGACACCGCGCGAGCAGAGGACGTGTGCCTGATCGTGAGTGCGGTCAAGGTGAGCGTCGATCGAGCGATCGCGTATTTAAGGGACGTGGGATGGGACGTCGAGCTGGCGATGTCGAGGATGCTGGACGCATCGAAAGTGAGTCCGAACGCGGCGGAGGAGCGAGAGGAACTGAAGAGACGGGCCGAGTCCGTGCGAAGAGTGAGCGGGGTGAAGACGGACGATTCCAAAACGGTGAGACAAAACCTCGGCGACGATACGGGAGCGAGCTATCGTCGCACGGAGTCGGGATTTTCGGGGGCATCGTTTCGCCCGCCGCCCGCGGCGAGAAAGCGTGACGACGAGGCGGAGCGATACCATCAAGAGCGATGGGAGGGCGAGTTCGCGGAGCGAGCGGCACGAGCGACCAGAGCGAAAAATAACTTGGATCCATCGTTCGATCGCTCGGTTCCGCCGTCAAATTTGAGACCTCACGCAAGAGAGGCTCTTCGAGCGAGACGCGCCGCCGAAACGCCGCAACCGCCTCGAACGCCCTCCTCGACGTCCACCGAGCTCGATCCCGCCGCCCTCGAGCGCATGGATCTCGTCGACGTCCTTACCACCCTCGGTTATACCCCCTCGTCTTCCTCAACGACCGCCGTTCGATCTGCGTTTCGCAAAGCCGCGCTCCGCTTCCATCCTGACCGGCACGCCGGCGCGCGAGACGCCGCCCTTCGAGGCGACGTCTGGAAAGTTCTCACGCACAAGATGGACGCCTACGCGCATTGATCTAGCTAGAACAGCGCTTGAAAGCTTTCATGCGCATCATCGCTCGCCGATCGATCATCCCTCGCGCCTCGTTCCTCGAACCACCCCGCGCTCGCTTCCGCGGAACACCATCTTCATTCATGACTCCTTCACGACCCCCTATTCGCCGAGACGCGCGTTCGCTGAAAACCGCTCGAGACCCTCTCGCGGGCGTCAGCGCCTCGCTCGCGCGTCGCACGCGGCACGCGATCTCTTCGCGGGACGTCGAAGAGCTCGCGCACGCGATCGCGGGCGATCGCGGGCGATCGTCTTCGAATCACGCGCGCGCGCGTCGAGAGTAAACGGCGAGAGAGCGATCGCGGAGATCAAACGGATTCTGAGAGCGATCTGAGCGAAGATGTTGACCAAGTTTGAGGTACGATGGACGCGCTTGACGTTTATTCGTGACGCGCAGACGTGAAAAACGTAACGACTGACACGATGAACGCTTTCGCGTGATCGCAGACGAAGTCGAACCGGGTGAAGGGGTTGACGTTTCACCCCAAGCGGCCGTGGATTTTGGCCTCGCTGCACAGCGGGGTGATACAGCTGTGGGATTATCGCATGGGAACGCTCATCGATCGGTTCGACGAGCACGAGGGGCCGGTGAGAGGGGTGGGCTTCCACGCCTCGCAGCCTTTGTTCGTGTCGGGAGGTGAGACGAGATGAAGAGACGCGAGACGAGACGCAGAACGCGTGAGCGATCGGCGCCTCGAGTTGAGATTGCAAGCAACACGCGACGCGTCGATCGATCGAGATGAGAGACTGACGGCGCAATAACGTCTAAATAGGTGATGACTATAAGATCAAGGTGTGGAGCTACAAGCTCAGGCGGTGCTTGTTCACGCTTTTGGGTCACTTGGACTATATCAGAACCGTGGAGTTCCATGCAGAGTATCCGTGGATCGTCTCCGCTTCGGACGATCAAACAATTCGAATCTGGAATTGGCAGAGCAGGAGCTCGATAGGGGTGCTTACAGGACACAATCACTACGTGATGTGCGCGCGATTCCATCACAAGGACGACTTGGTTGTTTCCGCTTCGTTAGATCAGACGGTTCGAGTGTGGGACATCAGCGGACTCCGGCGCAAGGCGGTTAGCCCGCAGGATGAGCTTCGCATGCCGCAAATGAACAACGATCTCTTCGGTGGAGGGGACACGTGCGTGAAGTACATCTTAGAAGGACACGATCGCGGCGTCAACTGGGTTGCGTTCCATCCGACGCTACCGCTCATCGTGTCCGGGGCGGATGATCGTCAAGTCAAGCTCTGGCGTATGAATGACACCAAGGCTTGGGAGGTCGATTCCCTCCGTGGGCACGTGAACAATGTTAGCTGTGTGGCGTTCCACGCAAGACAAGATGTCATCGTCTCGAACTCAGAGGATAAGTCGATTCGGGTGTGGGACATGTCAAAGAGAGCCGACGCCCAGACTTTCCGGCGCGAGCACGATAGGTTTTGGATTCTGGCGACGCATCCCGAAGTCAACTTACTGGCGGCCGGTCACGACAGCGGCATGATCGTCTTTAAGCTCGAACGGGAGCGGCCGGCTTACGCCACGCACCAAGGCAACCTGTTTTACGTAAAGGATCGCTACTTGCGCTGCTACGACTTCCAGTCCCAACGTGACAACCCGTTGGTGTCGATCCGGCGCACTGTCAGTGGACCCAACTCTGCCCCGAGATCGATGTCCTACAATCCAGCTGAAAATGCGATTTTGATCACGTACGATGCTGGAGGTGACAACTACGAGTTGTTCATGTTACCGAAGGATGGGGGCCGAGGCGAAGTGGTCGGTGACTCTTGCCGAGGCAGTGGTATCGGGGCGGTATTTGTTGCCAGAAACCGATTCGCGACGTTGGACAAGCAAACAAATAACTTGATCATAAAAAACCTGGACAACGAAATGACGAAGAAGTGCCCGTGCCCCTTACCGAGCACGGACATGATCTTCTATGCCGGGACTGGTTCTCTTTTGTGCCGTTCAGATGACAAGATCACATTGTTCGATCTTCAGCAACGTGCTGCGCTCGCTGAAATAACCGCAGCGAACGTTAAGTACGTCGTGTGGGCGCAGGACATGAGCCGTGTCGCGCTCCTGAGCAAACACTCGATTGTTCTTGCCGATCGCAAGTTGGGTAACTCGGTGACAGTCCATGAAACGATCAGGGTGAAGTCTGGCGCTTGGGATGACCATGGAGTGTTTATTTACACAACGCTCAACCACATCAAGTACGCCTTGCCCAACGGAGATTCTGGGATCATTCGAACGCTCGATAATCCGCTGTACCTCACGAGAGTATTCGGCAACGTCATTTATTGCTTGGATCGAGATGGACGCAACCGTCAAATCCAATTTGACCCTTCCGAGTACATGTTCAAGCTCGCGCTGAACGCGAAAAGATTCGATCGCGTGCTGACAATGATCAAGAGCGGACAGCTTTGTGGTCAGTCCATCATTGCGTACCTTCAAAAGAAAGGATATCCAGAGATCGCGCTCCACTTTGTACAGGTGAGTTCCGCTCGCTCGCTCGTTTTTCAAAGTTCATTGAACACAGTGATTATTAACTCTCTACGGATCCTTCCTTGGTGAATGCCGAGAGTCTATGAAGATTTCTTGTTCGCTATTTTTGTATGAGTGTTCATTGCACTCAGAAGTGTGGTATATTTTTACGAAACAATGACTGACCAACGCCATTTTTACTCGATAGGACGAGCGCACGCAGTTCGAATTGGCGCTCGAGTGTGGCAACATTGAAGTCGCTCTCGCGAGTGCGCAAGAGATTGATGATAAGGACACCTGGCACAAACTTGGCGTGGCCGCTCTGAACCAAGGCAACTACCAAATTGTCGAGTTCGCGTATCAAAAGACAAAGAACTTCGAGCGTCTGTCTTTCCTGTACCTCATCACCGGTAACATGGAAAAGCTTGGGAAAATGTTGAAGATCTCTGAGATGCGCGCCGACGTGATGGGGCAGTTCCACAACGCTCTCTACTTGGGTGATGTTGCTGAGAGAGTCAAGGTGCTTGAGCACGTAGGTCACTACCCGCTTGCGTACTTGACTGCCAAGACGCATGGTATGGAAGATGATGCCACTCGTATAGCTCAGATGTTGAACGAAAGCGGGGCGCCTGTCCCTGATGTCAGTGGTGCAGGCAGGTTGCTTAACCCGCCGTCGCCGGTGTTCCAAGGTGACAACTGGCCGTTGCTTCCAGTGTCGAAGGGCTTCTTCGAGGGTGTTCTCTCCGGTGAGATTGCTGGCGACGCGTACGCCGAGGATGACGATACCATGGTTGATGCCAGTTCAGGCTGGGCTGACGCCGATATCGACATAGGTGAAGATGATCGGGTCGATAAGCTTGCTGCGGCTGGTATTGCTCCCGACGTTGAGTTTGATGATGTCAATGACGAGAATGATGGGTGGGGTATGGATGACTTGGAATTGCCAGAAGAGCTGACGAGTGCTGGTGCAGACGGCGTTGACGTTGGATCGTTCGATAGCGACGTTTTCATCGCGCCAACGCCTGGTGTGCCCCAGTCGCAACGCTGGACTGAGAAGAGCGCAGTGGCAGGTGAGCACGTAGCGGCGGGTGAGTTTGACAGCGCCATGAAGTTGCTTAGCCGTCAATTAGGAATCGTCAACTTCGCGCCCCTCAAGCAGCACTTCGTTGATCTGGCGTATGCCTCGCACGCTGGTCTTGAGACCGTGCCCGCCGGATTGAAGATTTCTGTTCCTCTTGGGCGAGGATGGACCTCTAGATCTACCGGAGTCTTGCCTCCAGCGATGATTTGTACGCCGGAAATCCTCAACGAACGTGTGAAGAGCGCGTTCAAGTTGACAACTGAAGGAAAGTTCGCCGAGGCTCTCAAGGTCTTTGTCAGCATCATTCATGCCATCACTTTGTTGAGCGTGGATGATCCTCAAGAGGTTGAGCAAGTGAAGCAGCTTCTCACGGTTGCTCGCCAATACGCATGCGCTTTGAGAATTGAAATCGCTCGAAAGCAAGAGGAGGATCCGGCTCGTCAGGCAGAGCTCGCGGCGTACTTCACGCACGCTGAGATGCAGCCGATTCACGTATCGCTTTCTCTTCGATCCGCGATGTCGATTTTCTTCAAGCTGAAGAACTACGCCACCGCGGCGACGTTCTGCCGCCGCTTGCTTGAGCTTAACCCGCCTGTGAAGGTGGCGACGCAAGCGAAGCAGGTGTTGCAAGCATGCGATCGCGCGCCGAAGGACGAAGTTGAGGTCAATTACGACTTTCATAATCCGTTCGTCGTCTGCTCTGCGACTTTCGTGCCCATTTACAAGGGCACAAAGGATTGCATGTGCCCCATGTGCGGTGCGCACTTCGTCATCGAGCAGTCCGGGAACGTGTGCGGCGTGTGTAGTCTTGGGAAAATTGGTGCAGACGCGACGGGTTTGGTGTGCTCCGCTACGCAAACGCGTTAGCTTCCTTCAGACGCTTAGATCTAATCTAGTCTTTAAAAACCATCAGAACTGTGCACTACTAATATCTCTATGCAGCTCGCATGGTCTCTTGGCGCATTTCTGTTCTACAAATCGGTACCGACTTGTACCGCATCAAAAGAATCACAAATAATGAATTCACGGGCGTATCACACCGCGGTGGAACTACGTGGCGATTCACTGAAACTACTCGTCGGGTTCAATTCCATCAATCCATCCGTAGAAGGCGTCGTGGAAATACCCGCACGACGCTCTGAGTTTGGAAAAACCATGATGAGACCAATCTGAACCACAGAGACGCACGCTCCGAAAAGATTCGGCGCCGCGAGCCACCAATCGTTGAGCCCTATTCCGAACGCAAACCAACACAACCCGTTTAAGAAGTTCGTCACCACCAGAGGAAAGTGCATGGACTTTGAGTCCCGCGTCCTGACAACTTCTGACATCGTCGACATCGGCGACACGTAATACACGGCGAGGATGGTGTTCGCCTGGATCCCCGCCACCATCAACCGCGAGTTCTCGCTCGATCCTCGCATCACACAGCTCAAAACCATCCCAATGAGCGATACGAGAAATATCAGTCCCCCCGACAGCTTCTCAAGCACCGGTCTGTGTCGCTCCGATAACGCGTACGACACCCCCGAGTAGTACGCCCCGGCGAGCAGTCCGGTGAAGTTCGGGCAGTACACCCAGTAGTTCCCCGAGATCGCCCCGTACATCATCCAACTCGCGCAGTTCGCCGCCACGATCGGGTACGGCGTCGGATTCAACGACCCAATCGTCCCCTTCTCGCGACTCCTCGATATCTCTGGCAAGGGCGACCCGAACATGAACATCGCGAGCACCGTCCCGAGCGCCGGGGCGACGTACAGCGTCACCGCCTCCGCGGCGCTCGGCATGTCGTTCGATGACGTCACACGCCTCGACGCCACGGAAACGACGCGCCGACGGACGCGCGCGTGGACGCGCGCGGGACGCGGTGTCGCCGACGCCGACGCGTTTTCAGTGTCAACCTCGCGCGCGCTCGAGTCTCAATTCTCTGGTTCACGACTCGATGTGCCGCGTCAGTGCATCGCGCTCATGCACCCACCGCTGACGCTCGATAAACACCCGCTGTGTCGAGAGAAAGTGATCGCGCTCACGACGTGTCATCGCGAGAAGGCGCTCACAAAGTTTATCGGGGCGTGTAACGACGAGAAGTGGGCCCTGGACGCGTGCCTGCGGGCGCAGAAGCTACACAAGGCGAGGAAGAATCAAGAAAAGGCGCGCGCGTCCAAGGAGCGATTGCGAGCGCGATTGGAGCGCGAGCGCGCGTGAGGGCGACGCGTTGAGAGGTGCCGATGTCGAGAATTAATTTGGTCCTGGGGGTGACCGGGAGCGTGGCGGCGATAAAGTGCAAGGAACTCACGCGCGCGCTCGTCGGGATTGAGAGGGTGAAAGAGGTGCGAATCGTCTTCACGACGTCGGCGAAGAAGTTCGTATCGCGAGATGATGTGAGAGAGATACAAAATGAGCTCGGAGTGAGGTGTTACGACGACGATGACGAGTGGGCGGATTGGGGTAAAGTTGGCGACCCGGTGACGCACGTGGACCTGGCGAAGTGGGCGGATGTGTTGCTCATCGCGCCTCTCAGCGCGAATACGCTGGCGAAGCTCGCGAACGGGCTGTGCGACAACTTGCTGACTTGTTTATTCCGAGCTTGGGATCTTCGGGCAAATGATAAGGCCATCATCCTTGCGCCCGCCATGAACACGGCGATGTGGAACAGCCCGTTCACGAAACGTCACTTGAAGTCGATCTCCGAGATCGCCTCGAGCGCTAAAGATGATGCTATCGCAGGATTCATCGTCGTGCAGCCCATAGAAAAAGCTCTCGCGTGCGGCGATTACGGCGTGGGTGCCATGGCTGAGGTCTCGACTATCGCGCAACTCGTCGCACTCACTGGTGAGGAGAAACACACTAGGGAGTTCCTGGACTCCGCAGTCATGTACCCGTCCGATTACGATTAAAACTTAGAGGAACCGTTGAAATTATCATTAGAACTTCGTAGCGATATCTCACACCACGGCTCTCCTTCTCGACGGCCCCTCTTCGTCCGCAGCCGAGACTGAAAAAGTGTCCTAAAAAGAGCCCGACCCGATAACCACGACGTCACCACAAAACGCGGCGACTCCGCCTCGCCTTCGAGCGTCCGTCGGCTCCTCGACACACTCGCTCTCGATCGCGATGCATCGAACGCTGTGCTCTCGATCGTCCACGGCCGTCGTTCGTCGCGTCGTCGCAGGTGTCGAGCGCGCGCGTGTCGTCGCGTCGATCCCGACTCGAGCCACCGCGAGTGCGGTTCGACGAGCGTCTCGCGCGCAGTTCCGAGGGATCGCGCGCTCGGCGAGCGCCACCGCGGAGGCACCGAGTGATGCGCCGCGAGCGAGCGAACCGCACGCTGCGACGGTGTGGAAGGCGGCGATAGACTTTAAGTTTGTGCGAGACAACGCAGAGGCGGTGCAGAAAAACGCGGGGGTGCGGAGAGTGGATGTGAACGTGGCGGAGGTCGTGGCGAAGTACGAGGCGTTGAACGCGCTGAGCTTTAAGTGCGATGAGATCCGGGAGAAGCGGAACGCGAACGCGAAGAGCATGAAGGGGAAGATGGAGAAGGAGACTCGGGACGCGCTCATCGCCGAGGGCAAGGCGCTGAAGGATTCGCTTGCAGAACTGGAAGTTGAGCTCGCTACGCTCGAGAACGAATTGCAAACGATGGCACAGCGCTTGCCGAACTTGACACACCCGGACGTGCCGGTCGGAGGCGAAGAGAACGCCACGGTGGTTGCGGAAGTGGGCTCGCAACGCGCCTTCACTTTTCCGGTCCAAAACCACGTAGACATCGGGGAAAAGCTCGGTATGTTCGATTTTGAAACTGGAAGCAAGGTGAGCGGTAGCCGTTTCGTGTACCTCACCGGTGTTGGAGCGATGCTGGAGCTAGCTCTGATCAATTGGGCGTTCGCGAAGGTTCTCAGCAAAGGTTTCAAGCCAATGATGGTTCCGGACATGGTGCGAAGCAGCGTTGTCGAGAAGTGTGGATTCCAACCTCGAGCAGAAAACACGCAGGTGTATAGCATTGAAAACTCCGATCTTTGTATGGCAGGCACGGCTGAGTTACTCCTGGGCGGCGTCTACATGGATGAGGTCGTGGAAGAGTCGCAGCTCCCCATCAAGATGGCGGCGTTTAGTCACTGCTTTCGCACGGAAGCTGGTGCCGCCGGTGCGCAAACCCGCGGAATGTACCGTTTGCACCAATTTAGCAAGGTTGAGATGTTTGTCGTGGCAACGCCCGAACAATCCGACGCGATTCATCAAGAACTCAAAGATATTGAGATAGAAATGTTCCAAGAACTTGGCTTCCATTTCAAGGTTCTCGACATGCCGACAGAAGATTTGGGGGCGCCTGCGTACCGTAAGTTTGACGTCGAAGCGTGGATGCCGGCGTTGGAGCGCTACGGTGAGATTTCCAGCGCTTCAAACTGCACTGATTACCAGGCAAGACGCCTGAACATCAAGTACAGACCGAACCCTGTCGACGGCAAGAAGCAACCATTGGTGCACTGCCACACGCTCAACGCGACTGCGTGCGCTATTCCCCGAATGATTGTGACTATTCTTGAAAACTTCCAACAGGAAGACGGGAGTGTCGTCGTTCCAGAGCCGCTACGACCGTACCTTGGTGGGATGGATGTTTTACGACCTGAGGCTTAAGTAGAGCAGTAATAACAAACAAGATTGCCAAAGAATTTGTTTTCTTTGTATTTCAAAACCTAAAGATCGCGATGATGCTAGACATTAGATTTTAGTCCTTGTTGAAGAGCGATCGTCCCTTGGATTGCCATTTGTTGATCCAGTCTTGTGCCGCGTTGGCCGCACCCTCCGGCACATCTTCTTCCAACTCCTCTTCCACCTCTTCTGGTTCCTCCATTTCCTCCGGTTCGACCGGCTCTGGGACAGCCCGCGACTTGGGTGCCTCCGTCACCTTCCTGATGGCAACGTCAGAAACGGACTCGTCTTCTTCCCGTCGGTTCGTGAATGCAAACAGTCCGAGACCCATCCCCGTAGCGAGGATGGCAAGCGGGTTCGCGCGGCTGACCTTCTTCTTTGTCGGCGTCGGCTTGGCCGCTTTCTTCTGAATCGGCTTCTTAGCTTGTCTCACCGGTCTAGCCACACGCGTAGAGGTACCCTTCGCTGATCTGGTGGCGACTCTTCTCCTGGTTGAGCCAGACTTGGCTGCGGCTGGCCCTGTCTTTGCGTTGGAAGCCGAGACCCGGGCCTTTGGTTTCGCCGCCGGTCTCGTGACCGCACGCTTCGCCGCCGGTCTCGTCGTGGTCTTGTATTGAGCCGGCGTCGGTCGTCGCACCTGAGGCTTCGCCCCCTTGTAGTCGACTTTCCTTCGTTGCGCCGGAGTCGCAGTCTTATTATTCTTAGCCTTCGGCGCCGGCGCAGACTTGGTCGCCGCACTGCCCACCTTCGCGCCCTTGGTCGTTGCCGCCTTCCGAGTTTCCGCCGGGGACGTCACCGCCAACGCTGGTTCCATCGCCGCGCCGACGGTGAGCGTCAGCGCGAGCGCGGCGGAGAGGGCAACCTTTCCCTGAGAGCTCTCGTCCCGTCCCGCGTCCGCTCGCGCGATCACCGCTCGCGCGCTCGTTTGTCGCCCCTATATCGTCGAACAGGTCACCGTTAGTCTCTGTCGCTTCACTTATCACGCTTTTCGCCCGTCGCACGCGCGCGACGAGCGGGAAATGTCTCCCGGTATCGAGGTCACAGGGTCCGATCGCGTCGCGCGTCGCCTCGCCCGCGTCGCGCGTACGCACCGATCGCTGGGCGATGGAAACCGCTCGCGGCTTTAACGCGTGCGCGCTCGTGGTCAACATCGCGTGAGAAGTCTCGGAGTGACGACGCGATGGGGTGGAATGTGAAAGATGAACGGGACAGGGATCTGTATCTGTGGCTTTTGGATAGCGAAAAGGACGATGAGCTGAGGCGCGCGCGAAGGCGAAGAGGTAGCGCGACCTCGATGGGAAGTCGAGGGGCGGATCTCGCCGCGCGTGCGAGCGATGTTTTAATCAAGAATCTCGAGAATGCAACGAGAATATACCGCAGATTGACGGTGTTACTACGTCGAAAGCGCGCTCGAGGGGCGTTGTACCGGCATCGCGCAAAGCTCGAGCGGTTTAAACATGTTCAAACCGGCCAACTTTGATCGAAAGGCTACGCGGCGAACCGCTTAGCGGCGGCGTTGGGCCGGGGAAGTGGTCTTCTTCTTCGCGCCCGTGGAAGCCGCGACGGTGGACTTGGATCGCACCTTCTTGGTCGCACGCTTGGCGACGCCCTTGGAGGATCGCTCAGCGACCGTGCGAGCCTTCGTCGTGGTCGCCGCCGCCGACTTGGAGCGCACGCGCTTGGTGGCGCGCTTGGTGTAGCCGGAAGACTTCTTCGCCGCAACGGAGGTGGTCTTCTTGGCGGCCGGGGAAGAGGTGGTCTTCGCGCGCACCTTCTTCGTCGCCCGCTTGGTCGCCGGGGCGCTCTTCGAGCCCTTGGCCGCGGAAACCGGCGCACGACCCTTGCGCTGCGCCGCCGGGGACGTCGTCTTCGCGAACACCGGTTCAACAGACGTCGCCGTCATCGTCATCGCGAGCACGGTCGCGAACGCCGCGCGGCCGAACCGCGCGACGCCGCTCTCGCCCTCTTCGCTCGCCGTCGCGCGCGCGACGCATCGCGTCGTTCGCGCCCCACGCGTCTGTCCATCGCATCGCCCGACGCGTCATCGTCAGTCTTCATCCACACGCGCGCGCACGTCCGATCTCCCCACGCGCGCCATCGTGGTCCACCGTCCACCCGTCGCCGTCGCCGTCGCCGCGTCTTCGGATAGGGTACACAGATCGTCCCCGTCGCGGATACGTTTTCGATACGCCCGCGTCGATGCGCGCGCGTCACACGTCGCTCGCACGCACGCGCACGGCAGTGGGCGTCACTCGCGCCTTGAGCGCGACGGAGGCGGTGCGCATCATCGTCCTCGCCGTGGTGCGTCGCAGTGCGTCGCGCGCGCGGCGATCGGCGAGATACGCCCCGCGCGCGACGACCCCGAGGGATGGGTCGAAATCCGGGCGTCGCGCTCGATCGGGGCGGCGACGGGATCGTGTTCGTGGGGGTACACACGGGTCGTGACCTATCAGACACGTGTCGTGTTCCTGGGGGTACACACGAGACATCACTCGACGCCCCGCCCCGTGTCGTGTCCTCGGGGGTATTAGGGTTTAGGGTATACGTACGTGCGCGCGCGCGGGCGACGTCTGGTATCCTTGGGGGTACACGTGAGACATGCCCCGCACCGTGTGGTATTCCTGGGGGTACACACGAGACATGACCCT